TAATAGACAGTTAAAAAGTTTTAAAACAAAACCATGTTCATTGTAATGCAAGTGATGTTCTTAGCATTCGACGGATGTGCTAAGCAATCTATCTTATCTAGTGAATCGATTATGCTTCTAACACAAACTCACTGTTACTCTAAAACTTTTATTGATAAAATATAGATTATGAAATATATTTCATTGTCTAAAAATACTTTTTATATAAATTCGACCATATTTTGTTTATTATAGCAATTTAAATTTTGGTTAATAAAAAAATAATATAATAGCAATATGGTTATAATTTCAAATATGTAATTTTATTAAAGATATAAATGATATATAGATCTTTAATAAATTATCAAAGAAAAAAAAGCACTTGATACAAATATTAACAAAATATCTCTTAATATTATGCTTTGGTAAATTCCCTTCATATCGCATTAGTGAAGTGAAGGATACACACTATATTTTGATTCTTTAAACGTTACAATGAAGACTTTTTGATGTTTTCCGACACGTTCAAGTTTATTGAATCAGAATACATGTCATGCGTAGGTATGTATGTACGTAAAAAGAGTTTCATAGAAATTATTTATTACATAACGTTACTATAGAGGAAATATATTTTTAAATACAAATTTGCTTATAAAATATTTTTTGCATTAAGAAAAAATAAATCAATAAAGTAAAGTGTAATTTATATTAAGACCCACTTCCATATTAATTAATATTAATTAATAAGGTAAAAATAAATTAAATACTCCAGACAAATTGTATAATAATTTGATTAAATTTATTTGACATTTATTTTAATTTATTTAAAAAAAATTGAGAACATGTTTTCAATAATCACATTTTTTGTATATTAGAATCAATTATACAAATATAAAAATATGTAAATTTATTTCGCATTTATGTATATAAAAATAAATACATTCGCTCTTTGTTATTTGTAATATTAAAAATCATAGCTTTCCAATAAAAATATTTTAAATATTTTATAAAATTCAAATCATTTTACGACGTTTTCAATTTGTAACTATAACATTTTATTTTCATTTTATAATTGAATTTATAATTTTAATTCAATATGTACAATAATCTTATTTCTCAATATTCTGCTTAATATTAAAAATAAAAGTTTTAAATTTATCTTTTCCAATTCTTAATTTACAATATATTAAATATTAATAGTATCTTTAATAAAAAAATTTGCATTATAATTTAACAAATAACAGGTGGTATTTATTTTTATTTAATTCACAAACAAATATTGATTACAGAATTATACTATTTATTAATTAAATTATTGATTAAATTTTTTTTCAGTTAAACAAGTATTATTACCTTACATTGTTGTTAACGATTGATGCTGTTGCTTTTTAAGATTTTATGAAAAAAATATAGAAGCTAAAATAAAATAAACTTGATCGGATGGTATTAAACAATAAATAGATGTTTTTTTAATGTTAAATGTTAGAATTTCAAGAAATTGAATTATTCTGAAATAAGCTTATAAAAATTCTTTAATTAAGCGCAAATAAAAAAATTAATCTGCTAATTATGGTGTTGAACTTTAATTAACGGGACTGCATAAAAAGTATCAATACATAATATAAATAATATCTTAAAAAAGAAAACATACTTGAGAAAGATATTGGATAAGGCTTTGAATATAAGTTTACTTAAAGGAGCACATCGGTAGGAAAAGCATATAATTGATCGAAGAAGATTATATTGGCCGTATCAAAGTAAAATAATAAAGTTTGAGGAAAATTGTAAAATATTTGTTAAAAAAATGAAGCAGAAATTGTGGTATGGAGCATCGTTAAAGCCCATATTTTCACCATATTTTTAATACAAAAAAGGTATTATTTTTTTATTTTCACTAAGTCTTATTCACTCCAGTGCATGCTAGTTCTCTTTACGTATAAATTTCATATTTAACGGAGTACAACCACTCTGTCTCCTCGTCGGTGTACGGGTGCATGCACCCTTGAGTTTATACACGCGCGAGACTCTTTAAAATGCGTACGGAGTCGATGCGCATCTGAACATTTTCCATGCGCCTCCTCTCCTGACCCGCCTTCAAAAGATAAAACCTGACCTCGAGCGTATACCACTTCCGCCGATTGTTCCTTCCTTTGCTTGCCTTTTCTGATTTCGTCTTTCACTATTTTTGCTTTTTTTGTCTCCTCTTGTTGAAAGATTCGCAAATCCTTCGGAGAACTTCAGCTCACAAAAATCTCAATTTCCAAAAGTGCACGTATTATTATTATATTTTTTCGAACGATTAAAGGTAGATGGACAAGGACAAATGTAATATGATGAAATTAATAATGAAATTATTAAGGTGGCCTGTTAACAATAATCATAATATTTTGAAATTGTCAAATCTTTTATAATAGAGTTTTTATTTTTATTTAAAATATTTATACCGAGTGATATAGACTTTTATAAATTAGCTATGTAAGTATTAGTAAATGTGAAACATGATTATACGATTTGTTACTTTGTAACAAACCTGAAACCTCGCTATAATGTTCCCCTTGAACTTGGCAATTGATTAAAATGCATCATTTATTTATTATGTTTATTTATTAAATAAAAAATAGATAAACTTTTTAGAAATTTTTTTTTCAAGATTAAATTTGAATAAATTCATGAAATTTTATAGCGTACATTATAAGTACATTGTAATTTGAGTTTTCTTGTAATAAAATTTAACCCGACAGCATTTATATTATACAATTCCATTAGTTGTTCGAACGAACACATAAATATAAATAAGGAGTATGCATTCACATTGTGCCAGAAATAACTACAAAGTATTACTGACATCTGGTTATATCGTAACCAATCTATGATGATATGCATACTCATTTTTTTAATTTCTATCCCAATGCATATATAATACAAAATTAAATAAACTGTCATTAAAAAGAGCAAAATAAAATTTAAATTAAGACGACACTTGAAAAATTTTATATTAAATTTTTAATGATTTTTATTAAATTTATATTTAATTTTATCATTAAAAGTCATTCTACAGGCAAGCATTTGTTTATGTTATTGACATGTATGTGCATTTCATTTATGCCATTATTATCCTAGAATTAATTGCAATTTTATTGTCGCAGTATTCGCAGTTATAGGCTCAAGTTCAATTTATAGCAAAGCATCATTTAAAGTATTACATATGCTTATGCATTCATTATTCCATGATAAAAAATATATAAAAAAAGCAATGTAATACTGCTTTGATAATTTCGATATTATAGCCATTTCGTCAGAATTTCTTCATTGAATATAAAGCTTACGGTGTGCGCAAAAGCACGAGATGTAAACCACTTCTATTGCATATCTTTGAATATTATCTTGGAACTTAAGAATTCGCTCGATCTCCGGGATTGAGTGCGTATTTAAAAGCGTATGTGCGTTCAGAGGTGTACGACTGCGATTTTTTGCGTCTGGGTTATACTCGTATAAAACGCTGCATTTGCCGGGAGTGAAGGAGTGAAAGGGTTTTACGTACCCAAAATAACTTGCTAGAGGGATTTAATACTGGGCCAGACCGCAAGGCGCGAAAGAATGAGCGAGCGAGTGAGTATATATATATATATATATATATATATTCACACACACACAAACACACACACATGCGCGCGCGCACTCACAAGAACACACACGCGAGCGCACTCACACACATATATATATATATACGTATTCGTTCTGAGAGAGAGAGAGAGAGAGATGGCGATGCACTGCCATCATATAATGTTTTTTACTACAAAATAGGCTACCGTATTTGCATCAAAATAAAGCCTTCAAAACTGAGAAAAGATGCGTGATAAAAATATCCTCGCTCTCGCCACATGCCAAAGTTCAGTATAATATAATACTATTTTCCATTTTGCTGCATTCCAAATAATCATTAATTGTTATTTTCATCTCAAATTTCTAGCTAAACTATAATAAAAATGGATAAATAAGTTTTAATATCACTGGTATATTTTCTCTATTTGGCCATTCATCGCACTCGTTGGTAAGATCAAATTTGTCTTACGCTTTCCAATTATAGAAATTTCATAATATTTTAAATTACAATATTTTTTAATAAATTTTACTGGGTAAATGCCAAATTTTTATAAAAAAAATACATTGTTTATTATTATAATATAGTAATATAAATGTTTTAATATGCTAAATTTTATGTATAAGTAAAACGTATAATAGCTTTATTACATTATATTAATAATAATCATATGCAAAATATAATGATATAGTCACACATAAAAAAAAAGTAAGAGACATAATAATGAGAAATTAAAAAATATAATTAAAAGATTTACACATCGCGAACTTTTTTTTATGTAGACAGAAATTATTAATCGAATATTGATGTGGATACTGATTTAAGAAAGAGAGAGGCTTAACTTTAATTGAGCCAACAATTAAGGACACATCCTAGAATTAAATTCAATTAAATCTATTGTCGACTAGATTACATATCCTATTTAATGGATGCATGCACCATAACAATATATTCTAAAGAAAATTAGTATTTTCTTTAAGTTTGTATTTTCGTTAAGAAAATGAGTAAACTGGATATAATTAGTATGTATTCATGCATAATTCTTATTTTCTTCTAATAATTATAATTCTGAAATAATGATTATATAAATTGATATGCATGTTCACAAGAAATATTATTATTTTCATTGATAATAAACTTTTGCATCGTTGAAAATGATACATCTCCGTAAGCGTTGGGTGAAATTATTTTACAGTCAAAAAAGTATCCTCAATTAGCGTAAAAATTTCAATATTATTCACTTAAAATCTACAAATGTCAAGAATATGGCTTACTTTCGTGCATAATATTTTTTCATTTCTATAATAATATTGATTTTCTTCACTGATAAAGGACTGAATAAATACTTATAATTCACGTCAATGGGCAGTACTGCCAGAATTTAATAAATTTTTTACATTTTTTTAATAATTCTTTCTTGTTTATTAAAAACATTTTTGTACTTTATTATCCTTATTTCTTTGTGGAATGGGCAAATTTAAATAATATTGAAAATATCTGGCATATCCTCGTAAGGTTCGTCTTGATTAAAGTTAAGATCTTCGTTGCTTTGATTAGCGGCTATTGGAGTATCAGGAACGAGTTGCACGATAAAATTACTTTGCCAATATTGGCGCCATCGTCTCCCATGTAGTCTGATGAACAAAGTATTATTTGATCATCATGATTGATATATTACGATAACATTATAATAGCGTTTCACAATTTCTATCTATTATAATTCCATTTGTAATTTTAGCAAGGCTAAAATCTCCTTAGAAATCTACTTTTTTTATTTTATTTTCACAAACATTAATCGTACTCTAATTCTACTAATAAGAGTTCTTGTTAAATTATCTATGAATAATTTGTCCTTTGAATTTAATGATGGGTAACAAAAATAAAAAATGCTTGATAAAAAAAAAATAAAACAATAGAAGACGTATAAAAAATAATGAAAATTCAAGTTAAATAATGGAGTGATTTATAATGAAATACAACAGTATTCATATTTTGTAATTGATCATACGTATACATGCATTTCAGTATTTGTGTAGGGCATATTCACATGAAAAAACATTTAAATAAGAAGTAAATACAATATATTTAAAATTTTGATCGAATGAATGGTTTTAATCACTTAAAATATACAGTTCTTGTTTTGTACTTCAGAGAACGCGATATCGATGATTTCCATTACATTTTGATAATTGAAAGCAGAAAAAAAATAGAAAGACAAAAATGTGTATGGAAAATAATAAGGAAAGAATAGTACCTTTGTAGCGTTAGTAACCAGCCCCAATAGGCTACGAGGGTTAAGGAACAGGTTGGTAGCAAGGCGACTATCGTCCAGGGTATATCGCCGATCCTATTCTCCAGGGCCATTTTCAACGTCATCGCACATACATACGCCGAGAATACGGCCAGCGGCGTCGTCACCACCAAATAAAGCGAGTCCAGCAACATCTAAATAGCCGACGTTCATAATTCGCTAATGTCGTTTAGTTCGTTCAAGCATGCGAGCATCTTAAAGCAATGCCAACGTTTCTTCGCTACCAGCTCGATTATAACTTATCTATTATTCTTTATTTGGATATGTTGTTCTTTCCAAATGTTATCAATTCTACTTTACGAGACTATGAAATAACTAATTTTTATTAATTACCATTTAAGTATACTCTCATTCAATTCTTCATTAAGCGCATATGTCATTCAGAGATATTTCAGAAAAAATACAAGTTTTTTATACATTATAATTTAGGAATACAAATTGTAAATTTTCAATATTTAGCCTAATAATATTGAAAATAATTAAATAAATGCATAATAAATTATTTCAAAAGCCTCTTGCATTTATTATCCAATAAGAATTAGAAACATAACAAATTTGTTTGTTATGCCAAACGTCAGAAATGGTGAATACATAAATATGATTTGAATAAAAATAATTTATGGTTGACAAATTAAAACGATTAAGCAATGCTGTATATCAAAAATGAAAGACAAATATATTTTTGTTCAAATTTTGGTTCGTATTGATTTATTGGTCCGCTAACTAACAAAATAGTTATTTGATAATACGTAAGTTTTCAATACGTAGAATATAAGGAGGAAGTGGAGAAAATGACGAAATCTACAAGAATATACTTGACGTGTTGCAACGAAGGTCCTGATCCAGATAAGAAGGCTACGTAGAATCCCATGACGGGGAACTCTTATTGTCGCGTACCTATATCCGCATAATTCACACCGTGTATGTCCCGATTCTGTCAGCCATCGCTCAAGGCACTTGGTGTGTACCAGCCCTACTGTTCCTCGACATCTTAAATAACAAATAGTTTTTAATTATTTCTCAAACCGCACCTCTCCTTCTCAATATTAAATTCCAAGATAAATTAAAAATCTCTTGAATCCCAAGTTTTAATTATTATTGATTGATTTTATTTATATTTTTCTTAAAATAATTAATTTTCCATTTGTCTGTTCTCTTATTTTCATGCTTTAATTATATTTTTACAATACTTTCTTACTAATATATTTTGAATGTGTCACACGAATTAAAGATTTTTTGATAATCATTGAAATAATCTCTGAAATGGTACTTAAATTTGTGTAGCCAAAGATTGAAAATTTTGAAGATAGTAAAAAAAATTTTAATTACCTGCAAGCTGAAACCAATAAGCCAAGATCAAAGTTGACCAAGGAAACCGCATTACCAATTCTATTCACATTTTCTAATTCTTGTTCATCGCTTCTCAAACAGCTTTGATTTGACGTCGAGTTACCCATATGGCAAATTCTGCAAATATCATTATTGCTGCTACTGCTGCTTGACACTGGTACATCTTCTATATATATATATATATATATATATATATAAATTTATTTTTAACACTTAATTTTTATAAGATAAAATACTGGAATCTTTACGATATTTCATTAAATGTTTACTAGACTATTTCTGCACATGACTTTGATACATTACAAAGCATTATATATAATATAATAAGTAATTTAAGCGAATGAGTAATTTAAAAATAATATTCAAAGCATAGTTATAATAGGATTCTGATTGAAATACCATTGATTTTGCCGATAATGTCTTTGCTATTCTTCTTGGCTTCTTTAGTAACTTTTTCTTCGGGACTGCAATAAGTTTCCTTGGCTTTATCATGATGCTCTTCTGAATTTCGATAATAATTAGAAGTTATTAGTTCTGAAAAAATTTCATATCCCGTGAGATGCTGCAAAACTTTATTAAATGACCTTTCGGCAGACAATAAAAAAATGTGAAAGAACTAATCTAACCTATCGTTTGAATTTCGGTCTCTTCGATTTCAGGTTGACATTCCTCGTTGTGTGACATCAAAATTAAAAATTTATCATGGTCAAACGCAGTACTTTTGAAATCCAAAATCGATTTGTCAATTTTATTTGATTATTCATTCATAATTTATGATTTAAAGAGAATATCTTAAATATTGTGACCTGTCATATTCTACGCATTTGTCATTTGCATGGTCATTTGCGTTTTTCGTCTTTTTTTTTTTGTTTTTTAATTAAAACATAGGCATTTTATTCCGCATGAAGTAGGCAATCTTTCGAACGGTAAAGTTCGAATAATTGTTAACGTCGCTGACGACATTTCGGCTAGAAATAGATATACATATATTTGTACTGATCGTAAGCACCTGTGCACATGTGCGTACGCATTGAAACGCATATGTATTATTAATCCAAGGGAGCGCGAGTGTACACTCAAAAGATGGAAGATGGTGGAGGGTGGAAGGTGGGGAGAAAGCGAGATATATTCGCGAGCATGGCTGCTGTAAACTAGTTTAATTTAGACACGACGCATCGACTCTTCGAGCTATGCATCAAGTCAGACAAGCAAGATTGGAGGATTCCGCATTCTCTTCTTTACTTTTTATTCTAAATTTTAAAATATAGTCGCGCAAAAAAAAAGAAGCTGACTACTAACGATAAGCACAGTTTATAATAAATTTTAAGAACTTCTTAATATTTAGCATTTATTGTCTCAAACATAATTATCATTGCTCATCCATATAGATAGAACTCGTTATTCTTTACCAATTTATTTTTAAGATTAAGAGTTTTAATAACAATTTTAATAATATTCGGAAAAATACAGATTTCTGCCAGAGCACATAACTAAACAACAAAAGCATTCCTCTACATTTACTCGAATAGAGCATAAAAATTATCGTTTTATTCAGAATAATTAAAGCAAAAACTTATATGTTTAATGTTTAAATTACTATAATAATTATATAATTAGTATATAATTATTTATATATACTTATTTAATTATGATAATAGTTGGTATGCGACAAATAAGTATTAGCTGAGCTATCGTTGTTAGGTTCGTTATATACTAAAGATAAATGCACACTCCCTGGAAAGTGTGTAAATATTTCGAATCATTGAAAAATTGCTCTCAATTTTTAGAGCAAATTTAGTGAAATAAAATCAAGCCAGTTACAGAGCTTTGGAACAAAAACATTTATTTGCGCATAGTATGAATATCAAATGTTAATTTATATGTAATTAATTGATCGAAACAGGATACAGTGGTAAGTATATTAAAAAAATATCCAAAATAATACAAAAATTAGTACCAAAGCTATTTCAAGTATAAGTAGTAGGGTTTCTATTACTATTTAAAGTGCGCTATATATTGCTAGCACTTCGAGCAACCATCTTCTTGTTTCTGTGTGGTTTAATAGTAGCTTGTACATGTATATGTGCATCTAACAAAAAATATTTCTAATATTTAAAAACATTAAAGTTATTTGATTATTAAACTTATTTGTAATTATTTTCCTTCGTTTGTTTAAATTATTAAGAAAACAAGCGTAAAAAGCGTAAAAGTAAAACATATAATCAGTTACAATTTTTTGTAATAAAAATGTTTGTTTTAATTTATTCTTGATACACCCAAAACCGATCAAACTTAATAAGTGATATTACGTAATTACCAAACATAATTAAAGTTGCAAATCATAATTTTTCTTAAATTATATTTATATTTGGTTATTTTTATCGTCTCTTAAAATATCATAATATGCTATAATAATTCTATTTTTTTACATCAAAATATAATTTTTAAAGCGCTTAGTGCATTTTTTACGAGACAAAAATTAAATTTTATATTTTGAAAATAATAAATCGAATTTACATAATGTCTCTTCAATATTTCAATTAATCGATCAAATTATTTGCTTTAATTGTAATATTTTATTTATTATTTACTTAAATAGTAAAAAAAATTAATTGTTTTCAAAGAAAAGCTAAAATAGATTCTTAAATATCCAAGCTCTATCGGCTCTTTATACTTAATAAACTTTAATATTGAAATATATAAAAATACAATTTTTACTATCGCGTTCATTTAATAAAATATTATATGACAATTGATTATGTTTCATTAAAATTTTTATCTATTTCCTTCTTCACTATCATTAATGAGTAAAATTCTTTCTAGTGTTCTATTAAAAACAACAATTTATTTTATAAGAATGAAATCGATGTTTAAATAAAAATTACAATTTTCATGTATTCGCTAATTATTTGAAGAATTCGGTAAAATATGGATACTTGGGTTGGTATTTTTATTGCTTTTTGTTCAAAACCTTTTAATGAAATGGTCAAAAATTGATTTATTAGAATTAGGTTTAAAATAAATTATAATATACAAATTCGATAATTTAGATTTTTTGCCGAAAAAAACTTTTATCACGATTTATTGATTATAATATGCCTAATAATTAATAATTTTATATTAGATTATTTTTATTAGTATTTTCCAAATATATTTTTTATATTTTTATTAAAATATGCACATAAATTTTTGTTTTTCCTTTGAAGTTTTAGTAAAGATATATTAGAACTTTTTAAGTGTTTAAAACTTTTTGTTTTTGTTTATTGTAAGCTTTTATTATTTATGTTTTATAGATATGTATTTCTCGTCGGGAATATAAAATTTATAAAATCCAGAATATTTTTACTACATATCAAAATGTGTTTCAATGTTAACTCATCATCTGATACTGTGCATTGATTACAACAGCAAATATCACTTAGTGTTATTTATGAAGTATTAAATCTAAATTCTAAGATTTTTTTAGTATATATTATTAAATAATCTTTTATGGGCTATTTAAAATAGTCATGAAAATTACTATGTACATCAAACAATAAGTGCTCACATAAATGGATCAAAGTCAAATACTTGTAATAAGCAGTGTGGGCTTTCAGAAAATAATACGGTTTGTGAATAAAATTGGAAAACCAAGATGTATTAATATTATCATAGACTGTATCGATATACAGAGTGTGATTGGTGGTGATAGGGCGGAAGTAAAAACAAACAAACGGAAGATGGTAAATGAAGAAAGAGGAAAAAAGCAAGCATATTGTATCTGCGTTTACAGAGGATTCGTTAATTTTACAGCGTTTTCTACTTCAATATTGTCAAGTTAGTCGGATCTTCAATTGTCTATTAGCAATTGATCCTTATGATAAATATTTCTTCATATAAATGGGCCAAGACTATTAATGCAGCATCATATACGAAAATAGTGAGATTCATGTGGAATGAAAATTATTGAATAAATAATCGCGTATGTAAAGTTCTTTACGTTAATTATTTAGAAATTGATACAAAAGTACATATTTATGGATCAAACATTGACCCTTGGCAAAGGGTAGAAGCGCAAGAAACATGAAATGGCCCATGCTCAACTTACAGAGTTCATCCGCTTGGGCCACGAGTACAACAACTTTCCAAAGTTGAGCGCTTCAGCGTCATTAGAGCTGCGGGTGCCACTCGTGAGTAATTTTAGCCTGCGAAGCAGCCTGCATTTGTTTGGCATCCAACGCCGTCTATTTAACGCTGTATATACGTATGTACACCCAGTCTCTCCCGATTAGCTGAGATTTCTTGCTCACTGTTCCCAATTAAAGCAGCTTCGTTATAAAAGCCACGCGGGTACGAGGCTAAAGTCGAGGCGCTCGCTCAAAAGTACTCAGTCCAAAACATGAGCTTGTAGAATTCTATTAATTTACGAGTTAATATAAACATACGCATTGATCTCTCATACGTCGTTGTTATGACTTCCAAGTTGATCAAATTTTTATTGAAAATAGGAGCTCCGGATAGAATGCCGCGAGACAGTTAGATCCTCATTTTTTATTTAAAACGTTTCCGTTCGTTTTCATGCCCTTATTTAAGGTCAAATACACTTTAGTGTAAATGTCAGAATACATAAATTGCTCGATAAACGATAGAATGAATGTTCAGCTTTTAATGGCATTCAATAGTTCTATTAATATAATTAAGTTGAGAGCTATAATTTTTTATTCTACTGAGTTCTTATACACGTAATATTTTGTAACATATGACTATATATACTTACATCTTGCATATCAAATTATAACTTACATTTTATATCCACATTATTGCAAGAATCAAGTTATTCTTTTACAAATTAATTCATATTCCTAGAATTTTTTCCTAATTCATTATATAAATGCATTTTCAAAAGTAGTGTATTAAATTCATGTATTTTTTAACCGTATGCTTTCAAAGGAAAAATAACATTTTTTAAAATCCTATCTAAAATTTAAAATTTATTCGTTCATATTTTAATTTCATTTAAATTTATTCTATTTTTACATTTACAATAGATAATAATAGAAAATATGAATATATAATGTAAATATATAATGATACTCTGAACTAAATAATCACAAATAATTTTTTTTTTGGCTACTGTACATTACATTATTTAGAAGTTAACGAAAAATTCTAATTTTAACTGAATATGATCACAAATTCTACAAAGAAAGTTGAAATTTTTCATTTTTAACTTAAAATAATGGAATGAATGATTATTGCAATAAATGTATATCAGTTTTATAAAAAACCCTTTACATATTTTATTATTTCTGTACAAAAAATTATTGATAGTTTTTAATTATTTGCGTTATATAGAAAAAATATATTCACATATAAAAGTTGTGTTTCTTATAAAGTTTTTATTTAAAGTTTATTAAAATCACATGTTTCTTAAGTCTCCTGGATAAGTTTTACCCCATTATATGTGGTTTATCTCAACCAACGTTTTAGATTACATTAATTCGAATAGATTTTTCAAATCATAAAATAATTAAAAAATAGAGGGCAGTATTTATTAAATAAAAAATTAAAGACAGGCAATTTTTAATTTTTGACGAAATGTATCTTTCTGTAGGAAAAGCTATGCTATAATACAGTTTTATTTCCTAAGAGCTATAATGAAATGCCAACAACGAATCACCCATGCCTTATTCATAATTATAAAGCTTTTTAAAGCCAAAAACGCTTTTTTCAGTCCACAAGGAATTCATAATTCTTTTTTTCTTTTTTTAACGAAAAATGTACAAATTTAAAAATTTAAACGTATGTGTCTGTATGCATTTATATGTTTTTACACACATACACACACGCCCTAACGTACAGGCACACGCGCACACAAAATGTTAATATATACATAACTAAAAATTACTTAAAACTATGTAATTTTTTGTATTTTGAAATTGTTTGTATAAGTCTTTCATTATTTATTTTGTTAACATCTTATTAGTCTTGTGATCAATGATGTGAGATGTTTAATTCATTTTTAAAATTAAAAATAATACCGCAAATTATACTATTTAATATTTTCTCTATCTACTTTGTAAAAAAAATATACAATTTTGCTTCGAAAATAAAATAAAGATGAATTGATTTTCTCCATAGTTTACTTTTCAAAGCTAATTTAATTGTTAATATTTTAAAATAATAAAATGAATTTTATAATAAAAATAAAACAATATTTTTATCATTATAAAAAAATTAATATCATCATTTTTATTAAAATATATCATAATAAAGATTTTTTCTTTCATTAAATAAAAAATTTAGATTATATTGTATAAACGCATGAAAATAAAATATAAAAAACGCTTCCGATTTTATTAGCTATAATTTAATATTTTTCTTTTTCTAAATAATGTTTGATTACGGGCATGTGTACATGTGCGTACACATTATACCTACATGAATATATGTACTTGCAATAATTAGTCATTGTAGGAACCATTATTCGTTACCCACGAATCGACAACATGCACATTATAGAGAACATTTTTGAAAAAAAAACAGCTAACTAATCCCTAAAATGTTCTCTTATTAATTGTTATTGTATGTTATAAATAATATTTTTCACAAAGCTCCAATCATTTTATCATTCAAATTGACGAATTATGTACATAGATCGCATGTTATGTTCCAGTTTCAATTTCATGCTCAATACGATTTCAAAACGTTCATATACATATACGACATAATATGAAATAATGAATATATGTTATTATAGGAATAATCCTTTCGAATTCTTCATCGCATAAGATAAAATAGAATACTTATTCCTTATTCATAGTTAGTTATAATCATGCATGTAGCTATCATTTCAGAATGAGAAAGACATGTTTACTTTCATGAATATATATATATATATATATATATTCATTGTAAAAACATGGTATTTTCTGATATTGTCGGAATCAAAATATTCTCAATGAAAAAAAAACTACATCGTGGCTCGAAACAAATAAATTTTTTTAAAATGTATCGACAATCATCGGCATCATCATGTCATCATCGGCGCCGTCATATTATTATCAGCATCGTCATGTCAACATCATCATGGTCGTGGTCGTGGTCGTGGTCGTGGTCGTGGTCGTGGTCGTAGTCGTGGTCGTTATCACCATCAGCACCTCTACCATTACCATCATCGCTACCACCGTTACCACTACCACCACCATCACTCCCAATATATATCATTACCTTCACCCTTATCATCATCTCTATCGCAAATATTAAAATATCTTATATCATTTAATTACAACAAACATAAAAAGCAAATAAGAAACTGAACCATAAGTATTAATTATTTCCTTTTACATGTATCTTTATCTCTTATGGTAAATAGCAGTTTACATATAAAAGTACGAGCTAGAGAGAGTGAGGGAGAGAGTGTGAGAGAGAGAGAGAGAGAGGCGGAGGGATGAAATAAGGAGGAAAAGAGACTAAGCTGAGCAAGTATTTTGAAAATTACAATCACATACTCTTTTATTACAACGAATTCAATGCTGTATTCACAAGAAATACCGTGCAATGTATTTACCAAAGACACGGTAGTTCTTAGAAGAATCATCCTTATGCATTATGTTAAGTAAAATAATAATAATAATAATAATAATAATAATAATAATAATAAACATTATAATAAAAGAGCATAACGACAAAATACAGGACAGTTGACGCTCGCTCGCTTGTGTGTATCGGGTGCGTGTGCATGTATAGGTGCATTTGTTAAGTGTTTGGTCTGGCGGTGATTTTTATATGGCTGCAACCGCGGCAGCAGCCGTCGTTGCAGCAGAGGCTGCCGGCGCCGTCGACGTCACCGAGGACGAGGACTTCTTTTTGAGAACGATGTCCTTGATGTTGAGATTGACCTTTTCCTTACGTGGTGGAGGTACTGATTGGAAACAGAATCGCTTGAAGGCTTCGAGTTCGCGCTCAGCATCGTCCATCTCGCCGTCCTCAAGGTCTATATCTTTGGGCGTGAATACGCTCTCTGGAAAAAACACCGACTCAATGTACCCGCCCTTTTACTTAACCCCGTCATTCGAGAGAACAAGCAATCACGGACCATCGCTCATTCCTTAAAATCATTTACAAATTTAACGCTTTAGGTGAACTGTACGATTGTGGACTTTTCTTTCTATCCTTTTATTGAAATTATGTTCCAATTTAATCGCAATACTGTGTGTGCTCATTTCACCAGCGATTAATTAGTTCAGCTTTCATTTACTTATAAACCGTAGATGTTACTTCTCAGAATAATCGCATACTGCTAATAGAGTATTTATTGAAGTTATTAATACAATTGAATATGAATCTTTTTTATAAATCTCTGCGGATATACAATTTCAATTGAGTATGGTTGCCGATTATAAAATAACCATATTTAGTTCCTAAATAAAAATGTTATTGTAATAACGCTATTTAAAGTAGCTTTGGATCAAGTAGTGAAGTGAATATCAATGCTAATTAATTGAAAAGCTAGATAGGGCCAATCTATTAAAACGCGATTAAATTAGCCTAACATCAAAATTGTTCTTATTGAAATACAAAATTTTCCAATTTCTGCTAAATATATACTGCATTAAATATTTAAAAGACGGAGCATTGTGGTCCATTGAATTCCTTTACTAGAAGATTAAATAAAAGAAAATAAAGTGAGAGAGTGTAGAATATCAAGGAAGGAACGCACGCACGCACGCACGCAGGACACGCGCTCGCGCGCGCATACATACACACACACACACACACACACACACACACACACACACACACACAAAGAGACACATCTGTCGCACATTTGTCACAAATGCTGCAAAAGAGAACCCAAAAGATCATTTCTATTTTAAACCCACAACTAATCACGGCGAGCTGAGCTTTGCAAAAAGAGAAACTCCATAAAACATATAAAAATTGATTTTACTATTTTTTTCTTTTAACCTTCAGCTACGTATTATTATTTACCACATTTTTATATCGGTCTTACACGAGTAGAATGTTTTTCTCAATTCAATTTAAGATTGAAAGTTTTAATGCATACTTCACAAATAATTAATTTATTAATTTATATAAATTACAAAATTCCTTTGAAAAACTGTGTATAAAAAAGGGTTAAATTACGTTGTACAATATTTGATTAATTAAACACAAAAATACATGATAGAATACGACTAATTGAATGAATTAAAACTCCATAATTTTTTAATTCTTAATCTTATAAATATTGAGAAGAAAATTATATTTGATTTCAGGATGCGTTTTCATTTATAGAATAATTATTATTAATAGTTTAAAAATACTTTTCTTTATTACAAACATATTTACATATTTTCATAATCAATTTGAAAAGAATAATTACGGAATCAACAGCATAAAAACGCTAATTCACCTTTAATAATCAGCTCTTAATTATTTTTATATTTTCTAAAAAGCTTATCTTAGAATAATAATTGTCTTTTTCCTTCAGCTTTATTTTTAACTTTATCATTAAATAATACTTGCAATAAATTCCTAAGTTGTAATATCACATGAAATTCATTTAAATAACAAAAAATATATAGTAATCTATCAATGTGCGAAAGATTGAGCTATGATAAAAAACTTCAAAGTTGAAGACTTAAGATGGCTTCCTGATTCTTTTCTTATATTCGCTATTTATTTATATATTATATTTTATCAAGATAATACTATATGTTTATTTTATTAAATTATTGACAAATTAATTGTAATTTTATATTTGAACAAATATACTTTTTACATTGATAATCATCAAATTATTTTATACAGCGAAATAAAGTAAGTATGTTGTGTAATAGAGGAATTGTTTAAAAGTAAATGTAATTTGCAAAAATATATTCAAAAGACAATGTTAGTTTGATAATAAAATATATTGCTGGTGGGGCATTATTCAATACCCAATTTGCTTTTTACAAATTGATAAAAAACAACAAAAAAATAAATTAAAATTATAATCTTAAATTAAGGAAATATTCAAAAAGCCATCTTTTAACAATGTTTGAAGGATTTTTTTTATAAATATTAATATTCTTTCTCACCAACGAGGTTCCAGTCATCGCCACATTGTCGCACTCCATTTCCTCGCTTCTTCTTCTTACGACTCTTGGCACTTGCATTTCCATACAAACTGTTTCCCTTTGACTCCTCAAAATATTGTTGTTGCTGATTATTGTTAAATGGATCAGTGTTCCTAATTTTTGTCAGCGTTACACTCGTACCCTTTAAGTTAATTCCATTTTCGGGAATATTTGGCGACTGACCGTTCGTCACCTTGCTAATTTGGATACTAGAGAGACCATTATTGAAAAGTGTTGCAGATGTTCTATCGTGATCAGGTTGTTGAGATAATCTTCTACGTAATTCTGCGAGATCAGATGATAATTGAATTCCAGTAGAGCTTTTTACAGTGCTTGATAATTCGCTGTTATTCATGAAACTGTTGTTACCGTTGACCTAAAATGTCGATTAAAAGTTAAATCTTTTATTAATTTATTTATTATTTTTTTCAAAATATAATTTATTTTCTCTTAAAGTTTTCAAACTTGAATCAAAATAGCTTTACGGACTTATTATGTTGACAAAAAAAATGTCTTTTTATTAAATATGCAAATTTTCCATGTAAACAAATATCAAAATTATTCTAAAATGTATTAGATTGTTTTAAAAAATAAAGTTATATTTTAAATATAAAAAAGTTATATCAACGGAATTCGTCTTACTTATAAGTAAAGTTCAAATGTATGAAAAATTTAATTTTAACACTAGATTGAATTTATTTATTAATCGATGATTATTGGTTATGGAAAAATTAATTTGAATAAAAAATTTTTATGAATGTCAATTTTAAATAAAAATAAAATCTTAAAGAAAATTAATAAAATTTATATAAATCATTTAATCAAAATGCTTTATGACTTCATTTCATTAATAAATATTTTTATTCAGATACCAATTTAGGTATAAAAATTTGAAAGTAACTATTAGAATTATTAAAGTTTATCAAATTATTTGGTAATTTGATAGTAAAAATAAAAAATATAATATTGCTTTGTATTTTCAATTTTTACTACATATTTTTAGATTTATTATATTCGTAAAATTTATTAAAAAATTGTTATCACTAATTATTCACTAAATATATTATTCAATAAGTACTATATAAACGTACTTGAATTACTTGCTTACATTAAACAAACGAAAAGATATTATCAACTAGTATTGTTATAGTTTGGAAATATAAAGGTAGTTATAATCACACCTTAACAGAATCATTTGTTGTGGTACTTCCTTTGACTATAAAATCAGGTTTCGGTGGTGGCTGCAAACCTGCGTTGATAGCCTGTTGAAGAGCCGGACTTCGAATCGTTACCATGCCGTTCTCTGCGACTTTAATGATTGCTGCTTGCTGTGTACTAGGCTCTATTTTTGGAGGTGGTGGTCCAAATGCTGGGTTTCTTATCGTCACCATATTTGTCGAAGGGTTGTGAAGTATTCGCGCAGGTTCAACATTTAGGTAGTCGCTCGAATGCTGCTGCTGATGTTTGTTACTTTGTGATAAGTGAATGCCATTATTACTTTTTTCATTACCATTCATTAAAATTGGATTTTTATTTTTCTTTTTTTTCTTTTTTTTCGATGTTAATGACTGATTATTCGAGTCCTTCGATACATCTGAAAGCAATAAAAAGTACTTTTATGACGTATTCAGTAGGATAGACTCAAATATCGGTATTCAAATCAAATAAATTAAAAATTGCAATGTTTTAATTAGCTTTACTCAAGTAATTTTTAATTATTATAAATGTATTACAGTATGAGTAATGAATATAAAATTAAAAAATCTCACTTATATTAAATTTAAGCTTGTCTATTACATTAGATATCGTAAAATTTATCAATGGGTTATTATCGAATTATAAAAGCTGAAAAATAAATAGTGAGAACTGTATTCTGTAATATTGAAATTACATTCTATATCATACATCATTCTATAATTTTATGTAATATATGATATATATATATATATATATATATATATATATATATATATACATACACACACAAATAATGAAATAATGTATATTAAAATTATAAAAATAAAATAAATACATTAATTAATAATATAACTAATTTTTCGAATTTTACCGGTAAAAAATTAAGAAAAATGCGGAAAAAATGATTAAAACACTATTTAAAAATTTCAATCTTAGATTAAATCATTTCTTTATTAAATATATTGAATTTAGAAATAAAACAATTCATTTACCTTTATCTATATTTTTTGGTATTAAATCTTGTTTCAATCTTCCTGTATCAACGACAATTACATTTCCAGTACCTTGTGAACTTCCATAATTTGGTGTTTGGATACCACTCATTGGTGCAGCAATAATTGTAGTCTGTTTTGGTGAGTTGTTAGCAGGTTTTGGAGCAGTGGTCGATTTTAAAGGAAGAGGTTTTACTGGAGCATCGACTTTAGTGATGGTGATACCAGGAGGAAGTTTTAAATTTTCAATATTTATACTAGATGGTGTATTATTTGTTTCTTTGCAATAATTATTTAATGAAGTATCGACCTTTTCTCTTTTTTGATTTTGTATAACCTCGTTACTTTGTTTTTGTTTATTTGTTGTATTTTGAATTATTTTAGATAGCTTTTGATTATCAAGTTTTGCTAATACAACATTCTGATTACCATTATTAGAACTATTATTACATTTCCCTGCTTTTCCAGAATTGGTTGAAATGTTATTAATTTTTTTCTGATTTTTATTAATTTTAACATTTTTGTTATTGGAATTAGTATTAGTAGGTTGCTGATTTTGTTGCTGTTGTTTATTTGGAATGGTAGGCTGAGTCACAGTCATCTAAAAAACAAATAAAATTAATTTGATTGAAATAAATACCACACACACACGCGCGCGCGCACACACAAAATTTAATGTTTTCAAATATTTAGAATAAACATAATACATATTATGTTAAAATATTAAATTTTAATATAAAAATTGCAATTACTTATGAGTCATTCATTTGATATTGGCTATTCATTACTTGTATAATTATTTATAAACAAATAACGAGTTATAACAATTTTCACTGCAAATTGTACTTATAAAAATATGATGAAAACTTATGCATCAACTGTAATAGCTTGTAATTTATTAAATTATATAAATTAAATTATTACATAGAATTAAGCGAACTTATAAATATAATATATAATTCAATCTGCAATATCACAAGTGAACTTAACATTTTTTAAATATATACAACAGTATAAATAAATATATAATAGTATATTATAATTTAAGTCTGAAAAAGTATATCTATTTAAATCGTCACATATGTACTATTTTAAATCAATAAAATTCATTTATTTTAATTAAAATGTAATTTAATAAAATATGACTTTTTAACAATAAGATATATTCTTATCTGTTTAATGCTTAAGTTATATTATTTTAAAATAATTTTTATTTGTATAAATTTGAATAAACTAAGAATATAATTTATATTTCATATTTTATAATTTATATTTATGTAAACGAATTGTACATGAAAAAATTATTCAAATAAAAAATAGATTTAAATACCTTAGATAATTTTTTATGTATCATACTATTTTCTTGTTTATTAGAATTTTCATTTACGACAATTTTCATTATGTTTTCTTTATTTTCACTATTTCTCTTTTTATCCTTTTTAGATTGTATACTTTTAGTCTCAAGAATACTATTATTTTGTTGGTGGCGTGATTTAGATTCTTCTTGTTGTTTTCCAGTTTTAGATTTATCTTTATTTGCATGCTGATTTTTCGAGTTTTTCACTTCTTGCTTTTGGCTTTGCTCAGACTTTATATTACTATTACTATTACTATTACTATTACTATTACTATTACTATTACTATTACTATTATTAATATTATTACTATTGTTATTATTATAAGATCGAAATTTATTGGCAGTTTGTGGTTGCTGTTGATTACATGAATTATTATTACCCTTATTTTTCTTTTTTTTATACGAAGCTTGAGACTGTTTTTCTGCTGATGAATCTTTCGTTTGACCGTTAACTAAAGTAAATAAAACTCTATCTTCAGCCGGTGTTTGGCCCTTCAATGTGATCGTCACAGTTGGTTCAGCATTATTTGATTCCATAATTCTTTTAATTGTGACAATTTGAGATTGACTTTCTGAAGTTGATTGTTTACTCTCGAGCTCATTCTTCAGTGCTTCTTGTTTTTCCATTTCACGCCTTAATTTCTTCCTTTCTTTTTTAGTTAAATTACTCATATCTGTATTATTGGGAATAATTATTTGAGGAATAACTCCACGTTCATCTTTTTCAGGTGTTTTTATTTTTCCTATACTAGCAGTCTTTTTAATATTTTCCACCATCGTTGTCGATGTTGGTACTGATAATGACAACAATTTAATTTTATTATCATTTTTAACATTACTATTAGTTATTTCTATACTTTTCTTTTTAGGTATATTTCCTTGTTTTAAAATTGAAAATGATGATTGTGGTGTTGCAATAGTAGGAAGAATTGATACTTCCGGAAACTTTTGTTGTGGCACTGTCTTTTGAGAAGAGATTTGTTTTTGAGGATTTACTACAGTTATAGTCACCTCTGGAGTTTTCTTCTGAAGCTCTATTAATTTTAATTGTTCCTCCGCTTCCTTCTCTTTTTTCAATTTTTCTTCAAGCTATGATAAATTTAAAATTAATTGTGATTTTGATGTTCTGTATCCTTATATTTATTTTATTATTTTTTTAAACATATAAGTTAAGATTAATTATTCTGGAATACATAATATTAATTTTTTTTTTATTTATTAAATATTAATTTTTGTTTTTATGCATCAATGATTTAGTATGTATTTCTTATTTTTATATGAATTGTAGTATTTTAATCATTTTTTTTAAATTTTCTTAAAAGGAATTAATTTTTTTAGAAACGTATTGTGATAAAAACATAATACTCTTGATCGTTTTAAATTTATTACAATGGTATGTTAAATATATAAAAGTAGTTTGTTATAGTTTACAAATTTAATAATAGTTATATATCAAACTTCTAACTGTTGTGTTGAGTTTCAAATTTTCTAAATATTAATAATAATTTAGAATGTAAATATTGAAATATGTTATTACCTTTTTTTGTTTTTGCCGTGCTTTCTTTTCAGCTTTCTTTTTATCTTTTTTTCCATTTTGACTACCTTCGATGAATTCTACCGCAGCCTCAATAGACCAATGATCTTGTGCAGATTTCATTTCAACGATAGGTATGGCTGTATTAACAGTATTGATAGTTTTTGTAACGACAGTTGGTCGAGTATTGAAATTAGTTGAAACAGGTGTATTTGATCTTGACGCCGTATTAGGTAATGTAATTGCATCTACATTTGTTATTGTTGATGAGGTTGAAGATGATGATGATAAGGATGAAGAAGAAGATGACACTTCGACAGAACTTTTTGTATGAGGGTTGCAAGCTGCTATACATACTTTTGCTTTCTTTTTTGATAAAAGTTGTCTAAGCCTCTCACGCATCTCGTTATAATTCCGACTAACTGGAGCCACGGACGGCTAAAAATATGTATCGTGACAACATTATAGATAAAATGAAAAGTTGCTTTAAAATTATTCTAACGAGGTTACTTCAACATGACTTAATTAATAATCAGAATTAATTTGAAACAAAACAAATGTATTATTTAATAAAAGACAATATTAATCATGTAATATAATATAGATATTTACCACTCCATGTCCAAATACTTCACAGTAACAACAATCGCAGTGACGATTTGAATCCCTAGGAGTTGGACTATTTGTCGTTGAGCAAGAATCTTCATGGCTACTTCCAGAATCTGAACAATCACCATTTTCACCGGGGCTCACTAAAAATATGAATTACTATTTTTATCTTAATAATTAAACTATTCACTAAATTATTCATTTAATTTTAAATAATAAAAATAGCTCATATAGTACAATAATCTAAAATATTTAATAAAAAACTTATAAAGAAAATAATTTTTATATATCTTTGATATTTTGTACTATTTGGGGTAAATAATTTAAGTACATAAATAAATAAACACTAAAAAATAGATTAAAAGTAGTTACAATCACTGGTTGATAATCGTTTAATATGTTCGACTATATGCTGCTGTTTATGACAAGCTACTGCTGCTGATGGATGATTGTTATGACCTACATGTGTTCGATGAGGACCAGAGGATTTAATTACAGCATTGGATAAACTTCCGTGCAAATGAGAATGAGAAGAACCTGTGCAACATCGACAAAAAAATTCGACACACGATTTATGTCTTCCATGGACTCAAGATAACTTTCTTTGCAAATTTCATTTTTTATTGATGAATTTTATTACATATATTTTTTAAAATTTAAGATTCGATTTAGTTGTATGTAAGTGGTGAAATATGATAGGACTATAATGATGATAGATATTAATACTCTATATATCTTATACTTTATAAAATAGATTATTAATGTACTTACACCTGCCTTGATGATGATGACGATGCAAATGACCTTGATTGTGAGTTACATGTGGAGTTTGGGTGGTAGAATGTCTGGTTTGTGTTTGAGATGTCGAAGCCATCATAATTTTTGAAACTTTTTTTACAGGTTCTTTACAATTTTCTATGCTTGGTTTTAATAAAATGTATCGGGAAAGAGCAGGGCAATCAGTAGTAGATTCATTTCTTATTCCTTGCACTTGATCTAATAACCAATATTTTTTTTTATTTATTTTTAAATTTCTTATTTAACAATTAATGTAATTAAGTGAAATACTAAGAAGTAATTAATTACCTTTTGGATTTTCAATAGTACAATGATTTACTGTACCATTCTGCGAATTTTCTTGCTTGAGCTATTTTTAAAGAAAACAATTAAATTATATTGTTAAGTTAATCGAAAAAATATAATAAACATTATAATAAACATACACTAAAATTTGAATCAATAGTAGAATTATTGATATAACATTTGCAAGCTTGTTTTTGACATGAAACAGATTTATTAATGCCTTCTTTTACTGTCTTTTCTAAACAAGATGGATAACATTTTTTCTCCTTTACAATTATGGATTTCTTGTCTTCTTCTAATGTAGATGATAATGTTAATGCTTCTACTAAGTCTGCTAACCTCTGTTGAGGAGATTTTTTCCAATCATTAAACATGCTTTGTATTTCAACCGCATTTGGAAGTGAACAAGATCGAAGATCAGAGCTTTTATTTAAAATTTCTTCATTTTGTATAGAGCTATCACTTTAAAAAAAAAAATGTTTTGTAAATTTAACTAATATAATAAGCTTTCAGTAAATTGTTTTTTTATAAATAGAGTAATCTAACCTATCTTCCACTTCTTTCACAAATTCGATTTTATTATTTAAATTAACACCTGAAATTGATTGACCAACTTTCAGTCTAGTTTTAAACCGTTCAAAATCTTCTCGAACCTTTTTCATTACAGAACCAGTTACTTGTTCTGCGCTATAAAGCAATATTCATATAAAATTATTTAAATAAATATAATTTAAGGTAGGATTATATAAGTATCTAGGATTATAAATTTCGTACTTATACTTATCAATAAGTCGTTCGATTTCTGGGCATAAACTACCAATTTTTGTAATTTCATCATCAAATGCAAGGTAACGATGAACAAGATAATGATACTCTGAACCTTTTATTGGCAAATGTTTTCTTAACTATCCAATTAAAACGATTATTAATTAAAATAAATTCTATTTCATGTAAAAATCTTATATTTTATATGAAGATAATATTACCTGTCCAATAAATGGAGGCAAATTATTTTGTATCAAGGGGTCACTATAAACATAATTTTGATACAGACTCTTATTAATATATCCCCATGTCAAATTAACTTTACTAAAAAGTTCCTTTTGTAAAGGTTCTAGTAAATCAGAAATATGTACAGCCGTTGCTAATAATGCTTCATATCCATCTAATAACTCTGTTTAAATTAAAAATTATTTATTACTTTAAAAATATCAAAGTCTAAGAATTACTACTTTATTCAAGTATTTACTTGTTAAAAAAACTTCTGCCAGATTATCAATACTACGATCATACAGAAGAGTCAATAATTGAACTTTTACACCTATCACAAATTCTTGTGCTTGACCTACTAGCCACATAAATAAGTGATAAGGTACTCTATCACATAGCCTACAAATTAAATTATTTATATAGGAATATATGCAAAAATATTTTTTATTTTCATACATATAAAAATATAAGTACTTACAAAACCACAGACTCTCTAAGTTCAAAAAAGTTTTCTATTGAATCAAGACCTTGAGGTTGTTGAGGCAGTGATGAAGTAGGGGCATTCATAGAAAACCCAGATGTTTCCATGAACCAATTAAATGTATATCTTATGTATTGTCTTAAATCCATTCCAAGACCTCTTAATTTCATCATTTCTTGCAAGTCTTCTGCTGACAAATCTCTGTAATTTAATAGATACTTGAGATTAATATAAATTATTATTTTATTTTTTAACAAAATTATAATCAATGACCTTTTTTTCCATTTGCAGTCTTCACAGTTGCATAGATTGTCAGTGGTAGTACTGACAATATGGATCTTTTGTTTGTTTCCCATGGATATATTATTTTTATTACTTTTTACAATATCTTTGCTATTTAATATGACTTCTCCTGACAATCGATTGTCTTTAATCTCAACTTTCTAAAAATAAAATGTAAATAATCATAAGATAGATTGAAAATAAAAATTGTACATAAAATAAGTTATTTATAAAAATATGAATTGTATTTATTTATAAAAAATTATATTGATTACAATTTATAAAAGAAAGTTTTTAAGATGTTTATTCATTTACTTAATTACTACATGGGCAGCAATCAATATTCTATTTGTTATTACAGCTGATTGTTTCAATCCCAAAAAATAAAAACAATTGTACAATTACAAATACAACAGCAGAGCCAACGAACATTCTTCCTGCAAGCAGTTCAACCTCCTGGCAGCAGGGAGAACAAGCCTGGAGAAATCTGATTGCACAAAAGTCTACTGTCGATCCTTACCCCCTCAGAGAGCAGAGCTGATTCAGGCTCGGGACAAACATTGAGGAGTTGCTGCTCGGTCAGATCCTCCACTGGAGGAGGCGATGGTGGTGGTGGCGGCTTGAATTTTTGGACAACAGTAGCACTGACGGTCTCGATATCCTCGCTTCTCGACACATTATTTTCTAGCCCCTCGCTGGTACTGCCGTCTTTGTGCTCCTTTGTGAGTACGTCGCCCATGGTTGCGTTGCCGACTGTCTCGTACTCCGTGTCAGCAATTTCGTCGATTTCTTCCGGAGAGGTTGGGGGAAGAGGAGTGCTGACAGTAAGAAGCCTGCTCTCCGAATCTTGCCGCTTACTGTTCATTCTACGTGGACGCAAAGGTTAGCGAAGAAAAAGGAGGCGAGGAGCCCGGTGCGCGAAGCAAGCGATGCTCTCACTCTCTTCTACCTCCGCGCTCGCTTGACGTTGCGAGGGGTTAATTCCTCGAGGGAACGGCGACAACGAGATCGAGGGCGATGGCCTGACGGCAGCTCATACGCACCGTCGCGCATTAAGTTATCCACGTAATCGTCGCAAAGCTCGCGGACGATCAGTGGCACGACACATGCTATCAACAACCCAACTCACTCGCTCTCATGACTTCTTAAATATGGCGGCGGCCGCGATCAACACCGACGCGCACGCACACAATTCACTGTGAAGAAGAAAACCCTTGTGAGCGGGTGCGTGTTCATTTGAAGTACGCGAGAGATATATATGAGTTTTACTTATGTGAATGATTACAAGGTGAATTAATTGTTTATAAATTTTATGGAGCAACAATTAGCGCTCACATTTACTAGTCAAAATGTAGGATGAAAATCTGCCAAAACAGCGAGTATACGACTCTTGTCGCTGCTTAGATTATGCACGTATGCATGCGCGTTGTCGTTCATATTTTCATGAGCGCGTGAATGGCTACGTATATGCACATGCACTAGATACCTTTTAGAAAATAAGAAGAAAAAAGTAAATGTTAATTTTTACATTTAGTGCGCGCGAGCCTGTGTATGCGCGTGTGAAAGAGAAAGATAGACAAATAAATAGACTGATAGACAGATGCACAGACACACAGCAGATAAACAGCTAGATAGACGGATAGATAAACAGATAAACAGACAAGTAGATAGGTAGATAAATGGATAGATAGTTAATTAGATAGATAGATGGATAGATAGATAGATAGATATATAGATAGATAGATAGATAGGTATATGGATGGATAGATAGATAAATAGATAGATAAATGGATAAATGGATAGATAGGTGGGATAGATAGATGGATTGCTGGGTGTTGCTGTATATCGACAGGTAGATGAATAGATAGATAGAGCAAGACAGCAAGACAGCAAGAGAGAGAGAGAGAGAGAGACACACAGATAGAGAATAAATGATGAGACATACGGATTGATGTAGTAAAAAATAGACAAGTCGCGAGAAAAGAAATAATAGAAATGAAGTGGGCTACAATCCATATTCTTATATAACTAAAATCAAGTTAAAATTCATACGACTATATAGTAAAGCTAACGTTTTTTCCGCAAATTGATAACAAACAGTTTTATAATTTAAAAATAAGAAAATTACTAAAACAATTTCTGTGAAGTTACCAATGTAAGATGTCATATAACATCCAATTCTTTTGTTTTTGCAAATGATAATTTATAAAACAAAAAATGTTCTAAGAAATTTTTAAATAGTAGATGAAGCTTTATTGAAAGTTTGAATTTTACACAAGATTCATTTTTATATTTTACAGTTAAAGAAAATAATAGAATGAAATAGAAAGAGATTCATGAATGTTTACTAAAAATTCGTATAAATTCATGCAAGCATATTCCTACATTAATTTAATTCTGTTTGGCCTCATTAAATGCTAACGTACAGATATACAATTTAATGCAAAGAAGAAATACAAAAAATTTTTACCAGTAACATTTTTATAAAACTTATAATTCCATAATTTAATAAAGTTCAGAGAAGTTATTCATTACTTAACTAGTTCATTTATTTAATAGATTAACAATACTCTATTTTTAAAATAGTTTTTTAAGTTTAAAATTATAAATATTGTATTATACATATTTTGAAACACATTAATTATTATATAAAATTTTCAATATTATATTTGTTACTTTGATACAGACAATCGTATAGTCTTAAAAATAAAAATATCAAAATTAACTGTTGAAAGATTTAAAGTAAAAAAAAAAACAAAAAATTTTATAATTTTGATTATAAACGATACGTCAAGATTCGAAATGAATAGTATTAATTCTTGAAATTGTATATAAGCTCAAATTATGTCAAATAAATAATGCAATCGTTAATTTTTAAATAATTGTAAGCGTCAAAGTAATCGTTATAAAGAAAAGAGAATATCAGAAGTCTTTTTATTGACTAAAAATAATGCCCTTTTATTTCATTTAAAATGAAATACAAATTTTGTAAATTGAATAAAAAAATTATCTTATGATTTAACATAGGTTTAATTTTAATCTAAATTTAAACTAAATCTAAAATTTCAAAATCTGAAATATCAACTAAAATTAAAAAGTTAATAAACATAAACCTATATTCTAAAAATATAAATTCACTATACACTAGAGTTTATAATATTATAGCTTTTATATGGATTAACCAATATTAATAAAGAGAAATGAATGATTTCTTAGAATATTACAATTGCAAATACATAATTTTACAAATTATTGTAATTGCATACTATATATGTAATTGTATACAAAATATAGTAATTGATATACTTGTTGAAATAGAGTTTTATTATAATGTATTATACTTAGATAATTGTCGGCAAATGAATAAATATAATATTTATAAATTTAGATTGAGTGATATTGAGAAAAATAAAATAAAATATTTTTGAACGTAAAATATTTAATATAAATAAATTCAATGTTAAAAAAAAGATTTTGTAAAGTACAGAAAACCATAAGTTGGAGATATTTTGCTAGGAAAGAAGAACAATTTATCTATATTTATCATATAGATCTTTGATAAATCTTATGTAACAGCGTGTAAGAATTGTTTACTATTAATTTTAATATAAAAATTGTGAGACGATTATCGTAAATTGATCACATTACACTGCATTCAAATAAATTTCAAATATATATAATAATCTTGCATATAAATGTATATGGAAATAATTTTTAAAATAAATTGGAATTATTAAATAGTATTGAATTAAAAGATACACGTATGTACATGTAAGAATAATTGAATTGAAATATAGGAAAAACTTATGAATCTAAACTATTAAAAACAATTGTATCTTAAAATTAAAGCTATGTGGTATTTATTATGGTGCATTAATATTATTACAATTACTTGAAACTATGAAAACGATGTGCTTATGTAAAAAAAATGAATGACATTTACGTATGAATAGATTCAATTATAATATGAATATAGAATGAACTATATTTTTTACAAACTTTTATTGTAAATTATGTTTCTGAAAAACAATTAATATAAATTTTGGTTATTTTTTTATGGAGAAGTCCAAAGATTTCACAGTGATACAACAATTAAAATTATTAGTTAGATCCTGGTAAAACTATTAGAAAAAAATCTTAAATGATTACATATAATGTTTACGAATAAAATTAACTAATTGAAACATGTAGTAGAAAATATTTATTATTGAGTCATTTAGTCATAGCCATCTCTAAATAGCAGCATAGATTATTGTTGAACATTTTATATTAAATTATTGAATAAAATCATTAAAAGAATAATTAAATTGGAAAATTATAAGAAAAAATTAATTGATTGCTTACTGATATGGAAATTGAAAATATTTTAGTCGGATATAGAAAATATTATTAATTTTGTAATTAACATTTATACAGAAAAAATTAACGACTGATACATAGAAAGAATTATAAATATACGTACTTCAAACTTAAGTACTTTTAATATTAAATTAATCATCCCTCTAATCTGATTTCAATCATTTGAATGTATTTTCTTGAAAACCCTATACGTCTTGATAAAAGTATATGCATCAATTTAATATGAACAAGAGGGCATTTCAAATGGTAAAGGAATAAATATTAGCTTGGTTATAATTGTCAAAGAAAATAATATACTACACTACGTTGGCGAATAGATAGAGTTATCAGGATATTTCATGAAAATGATAGCATCAACTGAATAATAATTATAAAAACTTTTTCCAAAATGTAGGATGAATATATAAAAAAGATTTCGGCATTATCATTTATTAATTTATTATTTATTATTATATTGTTGTCAGGATTTACATAATTTAATAACAAATGTACATATTGTAACAAGACTATTTTATGCTCTTAATATTTAATAAATTTTTACTTTAATTAAACACATTTGCTTAACAAATTTAACTTCAAGTAAATTACATATTCAGTCTACATAAGATTTTGAACTTTGATTCTATTTAGGAGATAAAACTAATTGCAAAAAAGTTAGAGATATCGATATGTTAAAAAAACTGAGGTCGAGAATTTATAGATTACAATATAATATATTTTTTTAATAGTGGAGTAATGCTCAAAGTTTCAATTTATTCAATTTTCAATCCATTATTCGAAATGTATTATTTAGAAAATTATGGATATCAGTAAGAGTGAACAAGTAACGAAATTTAATTTTTTCTCTGTAATACAATAATGTGTATTGCGAAGGTTAAGCGAGAATAAAGTGTCATTACCTTTCTACATGTGTTTACATAATTGTTGGAAATAATCAAAATAAAATTTTTTTGACAGATTAGTATTTTATATCAATGGAAATTTTTTTTATAACACTATAGAAGTGCATAGTCACATTAGTAATTAAGTGAAAGAAAATAAATATGATTTTTTTTCTTGTCTAAACAAGATTTAAGAATTTTGTACTTAATTATTTAGTTCATCATGATATATACATATTTTGTAAATACATACATTTTTGTAAAAAATTTTATCAAAAGTATTTTTAATAACTGATATTAATTTTCATATTTCATTAAATACAATAACTACACTAACTTAACAAATTTTTGATAGTATTTTCGATAATATTATATAAAAATAATAATAATAAATGAAATAATTGAATATATCATTTAATTTTACATTTTTTAAATTCATAGATAATTTATAATAAAAATATGAGTTTCCTCTTCTTGTACCTACAAGTACAATTTTCATACATATATAAACGAAAAAAAAGTTTTATTGAATCATGATATATAATATATTTCATTATTGTCGCTTGCGACAATATACAATTTACAATGTACAATTTTATGAATAGCAACAATACAGTGCGAAAGCGTTTTTCATTTATTGTCTTATATATTAAATTCTATTTTCATTTTTTAAAATAATTGTACAGCTATCCAATGGTAGTCTTATTTATTACAATTTCGGAAATTATAACTAATTAAGTTTAATGGAATTTCCTTCTTTTTAAATTAAAAGTAATTTTTAATGCCAAATGATGTTTATAAAATTTAATATTGTTAAATATAATGTGAGATTTTAGATTTTGTAATATATTTAGTATTGTATATGGCTTCTTTTAAATTTCTGTAAATGTTATATAATAATTCTGTAAATATTTAAATTTAATCACATTTAAAATAATTTGCTTAGTAATAATTTAAAGTAAGGTAATATTTTCAAAAATTGATTTATCATTAAATAAAGTACAAGATGAAGTATAAAAACGAAGAAAATACAATTATTTTGAATCCATAGAACATTTATATGATTTTAAGAAATATTAATAATTATAATGTATTAATATACGACAATAAAGATATCAATTAAAATCCAATGCTTACAATGAAAAATTAGTGTATAATTTTTCATAGATAAATATGAAAATTATGCTATAAAAAAAAGTAATTTTTAATATAATCAAAAAATTATAAAAACAGAATTCCTATGCGAGAATGAAATAAAATGTATTTTATTGAGCAAAAAATATATTTATAAAGTAGAATGAAATTTTAAAGTAAATTATGTAAAGTTTATACCAAAATTATAGAAATAGATAAATATTTAATTGGGTAAATTGTTAATTTGAAAAAGAAGATTAAGATGAAAGAACTAGTCTCTACATAACTAACATATAGAATGTTAACATGTACATATTATTTTAGAGAAAAAGTGGGATAAAAAAAATGAAAGGATTTTGAATTATATCATATTGTCAAATATACACTTTAATACATGCAATTTCCATAATAAAAGTAATAATAATTAATTACATGAGTTCTGTAAAAATGATCTAGAAAGTAGTTTACATTCTCAATCATAGATAAGATTTGGTAACTCTTTAATATTCAAAACAAAGGATAGATGATTCAATAAGTAGTAATATAATTTGTAATTAAGCTAACAATCCACAATTATTTATTTAATCCACTTTGAGCAAATTTAAAATTCATTATTCACTCTTTTAACAATCGTTTACAAAAAATGAATTAATAAATTATTTAGATATAATATGTAAATAAAATAGAGACCTTTGAATGTTTTATAATATTAGAAAATCAGTAATGAAGAAAATCAATAAATACAAATATTATTAAACAAGTCTATCAAATTTCAATTCAATAATTATATAATTTACATTTATAAACGTTGCTTTTCAATAATAATATTCAATTGTTAATTATACAGTAATTATACAAATATTATAAGCATCACTTTTTCAAAAAATAAGTTTTTTATTAAATTTGTAACTTAATTTATGTATAAAATATTTACATAGCAAGTAAACTACCAGGAGCAAAGAGTTTTACTTTTCGATCAAATAATTTAAACAAATACATCATTTCTTCTGGATATTTAATACTTAATTTTTCATTTTGTGATTTCCAATAAATAACTAGTTTACCAGAAACATTCTTTGAATATCCTTTTTTTAATGGTTGAATGCTTATTATAAGTTCAGCAAAATGTTGCAAGCCATGAGCTATTACGGTTGGTTCACACAGTTCATTAACATTTTTATAAATATGACTTGCAATACAAATTGTTAAAAATGGTTCTCTATTAATAAATGATCTTATATATCTAATAAAAAGCCAAACATCTTCGATATTTAGGCCAATATCAAACAAGTGACTCATATCATCTATAATTATATAAACTTTTTGTGAATCAATTTCTTTTTTAATTGATGTATATTCATGCTTAATTAATTGAATAATTTGTTTTACCAATCTAATTCTTTTATTTTTTATATTAAATTCTGGTGCTTTATTATTGGTACAATATGCATTATTCTCATTTTGAATATTTTTGTATATAATATTAAGCGGTTCGACTATTCTGGTATTTGAACCTTGCAGTTGATTAAGGTTATATCCAAGTTTCATTCCAACATTATAAAAGTGTGAAAATGTATTGTGAAATAAAACAAAGCAGATACCATGATTTTTATCCCTACAATGTGATATAATTGCATGAAGTACGAAATTTGCATCGGCATTGTGATGTTCTTCAATAAATACTAAATTATTACTCAAATCAATTTTATCAATATCAATAGTTTCCCGCACTTCTTCCATTGTCATTTATATTGTTCTAAAAAAATTGTAAGTATTTTTGATAAGTTTATATTTTCATTTAAGTATTGAAATAGCTACTATTTATTAAAATAAATAAAGAATTGATGTAAGTATAATTACCACGTGCTTATAAAGTTTTAATTAAAAACTTTTATTTAAGTAGATAAATCATAGTATTGATAAATTATGTAACGTAGTGTAAAAAGAATAACTGAAGGATTAACCTCAAGTACAAAATTACTTATGAAAGGTTTGAAAATACGTTATAATTGAAAGACAATTTAAATAAATTAATTTTGTTCGCCGAATACATAACACACAGCTGAATAATAATACCTGGAACACAGTAATCCATTTCTTGAATGGCGGAATAGTGTTTAAAACGTACCGACTTTTAAATTCGGTCAATATAAATGTGAAGATATACAAAACGATAATTGAAAAAGTAGGACCAATAGTATAATATGATTTTTAAAATTTTGTAGATATTATTACATTTAAAATATCAAAATGTAATTAGAAAATATGACAAAAAAATAAATATATTACTAAATTTGAAAAAAATGATTAGAATATTAAAAAATTTGTGATAAAATTTTCAATAACTCATAAGGTATTCATTCTTTTCTAAGATAAAACGTTTTTAATTCAATACGTATTAATGAAAAAAAACTATAATATCAATTTAGAGTATAAACTAGATTATAAAATTTTCGATAATAATTTCGATCGCTTTTAATTTATTGCCATTTAATACATATAATATAATGTAATGTGCATATTATATACTATACTTATAAATAAAATATTTTAGTGAAACTTAAATTTGAAGCGAAGTATTACTAGAAATCATTAGTTTATATTATAAAATTTCGTGTAACAATTTAATCAACATTATGTAGATATTATCATAAATACATTTTTGCCCTGATTTTATTATTATATAGTGTATTATAATATATGGCAATGTACACAGTAGCTTTGTTTATATATTCTTAGAAAATTTCAGTATATACACAACGTATATATTCGCAAGCATCAATGGCTGAGAAATACTCTTGCGCGTATGAGAAAATAATGTGTGAATTATTACATTAATTTTTAAAATTGAATGCGTTTAATAAAAGATCGATATAATAATGCAGTACAAGTATAAAGTCGATATGAAACATCACTTATAGATGAACAAATCTTAATAAAAAAAGTATGTACACAGATATATTAAAAAAAAATTATATTATATTATTTTTATTAATATAAATTAATCAGAAGATACCCAGTTTTATATTTTGTAAAAATGTGATAATATTTTATAATAATTATATTTAAATGATAGATACTGAAATTCTATTAAATGAATATTAAAAATATATTTTCTTTATTAATTATTAATTATTAGCCTCTGATTTTAAAATATGTTAATGTATAAATATTTTAAAAGAGTACTATCGACTTTTATTTATGTTTAAATTATGAAAATAAAATAAAATTATATTAATAAAGGTAGATTCATATTTCTTTTCTTTTAAAAAGAATATATTATTAAAATTTTTACTTTTGTAGTTGTGATTATTAAGTTCAGATAGATAAAAATATTGCTCTTTCATTGTTCTTTTACTTGTTTTTAAAAAAATGTATCTTATGATTTAAGAAAATTCGTCAAATTTGTAACTGACATTTAAAAATTTATAAATTTATTTAAAAGTATGTTTATTCCGTAGTAAAAATTTGTACTGAAAATTTTATAAATTATATAAAATTTTATAAAATCATATAAAAATTTTACACTGACATTTAAAATATAACAAATATTTCTACTTCTATTCTATAGGTGACAATTTAATATTTTAGTTTTCAAAGTGTAAAATATTACATTAGAATTCGTTAATGCATATGCTGTATATTTATATAAAATAATTTGGAGTTAGTATTTTGGTTAACAAGAAAAAATTTTCTATCATGAAAATGTTAAATTATGAAGTTAGAACTATAACATTCGCTTCAACTTCTTAGAAATAATTCAAAGAAATATAGAATAAGTTTAATATTTATACATGTTTCAAATTTAGTTGATATAGTTTTGATTTTTTCTTTAATTATATTTTTTAATATAATTTTTTAATATAATTTTCTTTAATTATAATATTTTTGTTTTTATATATACATTTATTTTCTGATTTAGGTGTGGCTCGCATACTTCAATTTAAGAATCCAATCATAATGCTATGTGCTTCACGGTCGTAAGAAACGTAAATTTCCTTTCTATACTGACCACGTGACTTTCTTCTATATGCGTTGTATATTCATTGTTTATTACCTTTTTTGAGTTTGCCTCTTTTCCCTTCAGGTAACCTATCAGCTTCGTATACTTCCAACTATTAGTGGGAACAGTTCATTAATTTTTGTATAAAGTACTTAAATATTAAACCAAATAATTATGGCAAAGTTCGATTTAACATGTCGTATTGGCCAGTACCTCGACCGGCACTTAGTATTACCGCAGCTTGAATTTCTCAACGCAAATAAAGTAAGGTTTTCCGACAATTTTTCATATGGCTCCTTACTTCAACACTTTTCTTATAATATTATAATGTTTATCCACATATGATTTATTGTTCACATATACTTCTTTTCGTCAATATTATTATATCATATTTATTGTACTTCAGATTTTTGATGAAAAGGATTTACTCCAAGCCAAACTAGACACCCTTAGTACAACTAATATGGTTGATTATGCTATCGATGTAAAGGAGCAACTGCATCCTGATACCACTAAACCACAAATTAATATGGATGGGAATGATTTAAATGTACGTATTAAATATTTATATTACAATAATGCAAAAATACGAATATGTATAATAATTTATATATTGCAATATGTAGGAATTAAGAAATAAAAGAGTTTTGATTTTGGAAGAATTAAAACGATTACAAGATGCTGATAAAATTTTTGGAGTATTAGAAAATGATGAAGTTATGAAAAAAATGGAAAGTATGCGTGATTCCAAAGCATTAATAAAATTTTTGGCAGATTTAGCAGATGTTAGTATATAATTTATAAATATATATTTTATTATTAATCTAGTTTTAATTCCAATTTTTATATATTTTAGTTTCGAATTGAAATGATGGAGGATATAGTAAGACTTGCTAAATACAGATATGAATGTGGTAATTATACAACGTCAAGTTCATATTCATATTTTTATATGTTAGTCATGCCACCTTCAGATAAGGTAAATGAAATTGAAATATTTAATATTCAACTTTAATAAAGTTATTATTAAAATAAATATTAAATTTCAATTAATTTATAGAATTATTTGAACGTGTCATGGGGGAAATTAGCATCAGAAATCCTTACACAAGAATGGGATACTGCACTTGAAGATATTAACAAATTACGAGAATATATCGATAGTAACGTTGGAATTGGAAATCCACTACAAATACTTCAACAGCGAACTTGGTTAATTCATTGGAGTCTTTTTGTATTCTTTAATCATATTAAAGGAAGAGATATGATCATTGATATGTTTCTTTATAGACCACAGTATGTATATATATTTTTAAATTAATAATATATGGTATATTATAATATTATATTTTTAATTAAAAATAAGAAAGCTTGTTAAAGTAATTACTTATTTCTAAAAATTAATTTATAAATCAAGCTGTAATATATTTATTTAAAAATTTTCTAGTTATTTGAATGCAATTCAAACAATGTGTCCACATATTCTTCGTTACTTGGCTGCTGCAGTTATTGTTAATCGTTCTAGAAGGGCAGCATTAAAGGATCTTGTTAAAGTTATTCAACAGGAATCATATACATATAGAGATCCAATCACTGAATTTCTTGAACATCTTTATGTTAATTTTGATTTTGATGGAGCTCGTCAAAAATTACAAGAATGTCAAACTGTCTTGTGTAATGATTTCTTTCTTATAGCTTTGCCTAATGAATTTGTTGAAAATGCAAGGTTGATGATATTTGAAACATTCTGCAGAATTCATCAATGTATTAGTATACAGTGAGTTTTAAAAAATATTTTATTTCTCAACACTGTATTGTGTAAATATTAATATTCTGCGTTTTTATATAGAATGCTTGCTGAAAAATTGAATATGGAGGTTGATATTGCAGAATGTTGGATTGTAAATTTAATTCGTAATGCAAGACTTGATGCTAAGATAGATAGTAAGTTGGGACATATAGTAATGGGAGGTCAGCCTGCTTCACCATATCAACAACTTATTGAAAAAATTGAAACATTAAGTGTAAGGAGTGAAGCTTTAGAAAATTTAATAGAACGAAAGGTTAAAGCAAAAAATCAAGATCCAATAAGTATAGTGTGGAATTAAGGTAATGCATTCATATTTAATGAAAAATAATTTATTTATTATGAATACATTTAAGTGTTTGGACAAAACATATTTTAGGTGTAATCATGCTGCGGTCTGGAACTTTTTAACAAAGTAAAAATAAAGATATTGAAGATCTGAGAAAATTAAATCGATTCTCATATTACAAAACGAATTAAATTTTAATAATTTTTGCAGTGAATACAATTTTTAATTTAAATTAAGAGACGTGCTTAAGGAATTTTTATAATATGAGCAATGAAATGAAATATACATATATAATCATAAAAAACTCAGTTTATTTAAAGCTGTATTTATTTATTTTATTATAAACCTGATGAAAAATCTATTTGTTCATAAAATAAACTTTTATTGCTATGTTATTTATTATGGTAATATATCATTTCAAATGTAATAAAATAATTCCATAAATTTTTAATAGAATTAAATTATCTAGTAAATTAATATCGAAGCCTTAATATTAAAAATTATGTTTGATATTTTGTGGTAATTATTTTTTTGTTATACTTATAACTTTAAAGTAAAAGAATATATTACTAATATTATCATTAGTATACATATTTATGTATACATGTAAAATATATTTTTAAGCAAAGATTTAATAACAAACAGTTTTTATCACCATCAACAATTTTTGCCGATACATATAATTTATTCTAATATATTCCAAGAAACAATATTAATATTTTATACTTTTTGCAATTTAATCCATGTTTCTACATTAAGTAGCATAAAATAATACTATAGAATTAAGATATAGCTATTATGTATCCACAAAAAGTTTAGATTTACCAGTCAATCGATTGATACTTCCACTCCGTTGCTTTCAAATATTCTAACTCCTTTCTTAAATTTTGAATACGTTTTTGATGAAGCTCTCGATTAACACATTTTTGATGTTTTTGTACTTGAAGATCAGATTTAATGCGATTCATAAATTTACTTGTATTGCAAGACTCTGAACATTTTGATTCTTGCATTCTTTGCACGGGTGATGCACCTAAATTTGTAGAGGATAATCCAGCAGTATTCATACTTTCAGCTGTTTTTCTATAAATAAATGTATATCACTTATTTTATTGTAAATTTTCTAGTTTTTGAAATGTACAAATAAAATATATCCAAATGCATATTCCGACATAAGCCTACAAAATAAAAAATGTGATATACATAAAAATAAAAAAATTGATAAAATATTTAAAAAATAAACTTTTAAATAAAAATCTAACCTATTCATTACAAATAATGTGAAATAATAAATTGACGAACGAAGCTAATAAACCAACAAATGCCCGAAAAACGTTAATAAGAAGTAAAAAATACAATAATGAATAAAGGAATGAAAATATAAATATAAAAAGGTCCAAAAAGTTAAATTAATTGTTTTATTAAGTACGTACTCACTGTTATAATGAAGAGAAGTTCAAAACAGTCACCGATTCCAATACCGTCGTGGGTCAAGGGCAAAAAACATTATGGGTTCTGCTGTGACCCATATAAGAACGAACCACTTTCTAACAGTCGTCCTGAAAGTGATCAAACGCTGAAAAGCGTTATTTTAAATGCTGGAGGGCCTAATGTAAAAATCCGGCTCCTTGAATTGGATCGAATGCCGCCGCCTATGAAGAAACTACGAAAGTGATTTTTGCAAAACACGTTTAATTTTGATTTTTTTTTCATCTATAAATTACTTTATAATATAATAAATACGATTTTATAATAAAAAAATATATTAAATTATCATTCTTATATTATTCATTAAAAATAATTTTGCAATACTTATAGTACTATTGTAAAGCATGACTTTTTCCCTTTTTCATTAAAGCACGATAACGTATTTATTACCTTTGAAATTAATATACAAGGCTTAAATTAAAAATAAATTATTATTGCTTATGCTATAAGAAATTGCTTTTATAATTACTTTGTATTACTGATTTTAGGATAAAAAATAATTTTTATTGAAAAATTAGTCAATTAATCTTGGAAAGGTAATCCTAATTAGCCAGGGAGTATTTGGTTAGTTTGCCAGTTTTTAATTTTTAATGTACATATCAGTAAATTGAATCAAATTTATTGTTTAAATAAATAAATTTCAAATTTATTTTTCATGCTTTTCAAGTTTTTATCTTACGACACTGATAGTTTAATGAAAAAAATAATAAAGATATTTTGCAAGAAGCATAAAAAGTTTATATTAATAATTTGATGTGCTGTAAGAAATACAATGAGTTTTAAAAACATGCAATTTTTTTTAACAAAATTAAAAAAATTACATTTTCATAATTTACAAAGTTTTTAATTTCAAGATTCTAAATCATAGTACGTTAATAATCACTTAATAGGATTCGGTTAAACTAATAACAAACTGTATTGAACACAGAAAGAATCATTGACAGAATAAATGCAGACTTGTCTTACACTGGTTTAATTTTATATTATATATTTAGAAGTTTACTTAGTTCTATATATTCATTTACATATTATATTAAATTATGACACTTGCTTAGAATTATTTAACTTTTTAATAAAAATGTGGAATGCAAAAATTTCAAGCTTATATTTGAAATTATTGTACAACTTTCGTGCATATCTAATTAAAAATTTATCAAATAAATAAAAAGCTGAAGTTTTGAATAAATTAATTTTATAATTTAGGCAGATAAAAAAAATTGTATGACCATGTTTTAAAATTGATTTTATGTTTTCATTACATACAAAAATCTTTCGAACAAAAAATTTAGTACATACTTTCACTATTGAGCTTGATTTTTTTATTAGATAGTGAATATTGTATTGTAAGAACAATTAATTACTAATTTTAACCAAGAATATGTTTAATGCTATTATTAATATTCATTTTTGAATTCAACATTTTTAAGAAAAACTTGACAGATTTAATTGGTTTGAAAATTTTTTTATACATAGTATTCAGTATTCATAAGGTATATAAATATGGTATATTTTCAGTAAATATATTATACAAGTTAGAAAAAATAAAAATCAATAAATATGAATGTACAGTTAAGATATTGAATAAGTTAATGGATAGATATAGTGATAATTACAACTATGTTTACATTGTTTTTTTTTTAATATTTGTTTACAGGTCGATATTTATAAACAAAATAATAGTTTTGTAGAAAAGACGAACCAAAATATTCCATTAAATTTGTATTCAAAGAAATATTTTATAATTTTTTAATGTCTTAACTTATTTCAACAATGGCATTATTTTTTCATTAATTAATAATCGGCATCTTTATATTTAAGTTATTAATAGTACCAATTACGAATCAGCATAAATTGTTATAACTGGGCTTTCTATAAATAAGAATTTTTCTTAATTTACAATTCTGTATTAATGAGTTCTAGCAGCTATTTTGTCCTTGTTATTAATTTACATCATTGACTTACATTATTTAAATTCTATATTATTTTAATATTTGATTTTGACAAGTGTTCTACTTTACTAGTACCACTTATTTATTAATAAACAATAAATATTTTAACTCATACTTTATAATATTATTAGGAGTAATCTCAAAAACAATTTTTCTCATTTTTCATTCTCAAATTTATGTTTTTTTTATCAATTTAATTTACTTACTTAAAAAAATTATTAGTATTTTAGATAGTTTTTTCTTATATAAAATTTTTTTTTATTCAATACTGCTATCAATTATAAAATCTATATATATATATATTGATTTTATATAAGTTCCATCTTCAAACTAAGCAGATTTATATTGTTTTAAGTTTCTGTATTGATAGTAAGCTGCTTTATTTGTAATTTATAGTAATATCACTCAAAATAAATATTTCTTAAGTTCCTTCAAATGATCTTTGATACTAAATGGACAGCATTATTATTATAAGAAATATCATTTTTGTATTTGCATTATTATTATTGTTCTATTTTAAACTGAATTTTAATGCTCAACATCAAAATTACATTTTTAGATTTATATAATAGTTATTCAATTATAAATTGAAGAACTTGTTTGTTTGGATTTTTATAATTCTTGGTATTCAATCTCAAATTGAATTCCATTATCACATTTAAATAATTTTTTTGAATTTTGTAATTTTTACTGCTTATCTTAATTTCAGTTTTATTGTTGCTAAAAAAGACTTTATTCTCGAATTTTTACAATGTAATATTTGATATCAGTTTTAATAGTACTATCGTCAATAAAAATATTGTTTTAATTTTTGTAATCATTACATGTCTAACTGCTCAGTCTTTACTGCTTTTTCATCATTTAATAAAATATCAATAATATTTTGATCTTGATAGATGAGCGATAATTGTATGGGTGACTCAAGGTCTAATCGTTTATTCTTATTAAAGATTTCAAATCGATATTCAACAGTTACATCCTCCATCAAGTTCATAAATTTTTCGCATGCTGTTTTAGGCCATTTTTCAAGATCTTCGGGCATTTTTAATGAACAGCAAGTTGCTAAAGGTCGAATTTGCGCAAGATTGTGGGGTAGTTCGCGTAAACTTGATTGTGAGTCAGTTACTGCTGTATTACCATAATCAATGTAGAAAACTTCGGTCCCATTTTCACCATGTGACAATACTTTAGATCTGTACCACTGACCATCTTCATCGAATTTGGCCGCTAATATTATACCTTCTTTGATTTCCTTTACTAAATCGAAGTTTTCAGCAACCAATAATTCATTCATAATATCATCCAAGTATAAATAATCACTCTTTTTATGAATCCAAAATTCCGACAGTGAGCTGACAAAGCATACTGTACATATGTCTATATTTGAAATTTTTTCCTTATCAATTGGAAAAGACGGTTCTTCTGTTAAAATTGTTGCAATTTCTTTATTAGGATTGTCTTCTTTGTATATTTGATGTGTTTTTGCACAAAGGTCCAAAAGCTCCGAGGCTACGTCTTTACAATTGTAGGTCAATTTGACAAGGCTAATTTCACCATCCTCAATAACATCCAAAAGAAAAATGATCGAGCCTTCATCAGCTAACTTAGTGAATACATTATTGACGCCGTCGGGCCAGCAATCGATTCCATCGGGTTTAGCCAAGCGACACTTTCTAGATAGTGGTTGAATTTCTATCAAGTCTTCCGGAATCACTCTTAGATCTGTCGTCAAAGCAGAATTACCATAATCTATATAACGTACTCTTGTTCCTTCTTCGTTTTGAGATAACACGATTGCTCTATAGTAATAACCATCGTCGGGAAAATGAGCGATACAAATACACCCCTCTTTAATTTCAGTTAGAGGCTGAAGAATAGGAGCCATTAATAATCTATCCTGCATCATTTCTAATTCATTAATATATTTATCTTCTTGCATCCAGAACATATCCACTGAAACAATGTTACTGACATATGCAGATCGGGGATCTAGTTCAATCTCTTCAATCATATCAAATTCAAATTCTTCGGAACAATTAAAGAAGATAGCATGTTTTTCATCAACAAGTATTTGACATATGCTTTGTTCAGAAACGAACAGATCGATACGTATTGTCGTCTTATTGGCAATAATTAATGCCTGTACGGTTTTCTGAGCGTTAATAAGATCAGTAAAGCGTTTGCAAGCCTCTTTGGACCAATCGTCGGCTGTTGACGGCAGGATATCAAGTCTTGTTGAAATTGCGTATCCGTCAATGGCTTTCCACTTATCTGGCAATTGCTTGAGGCGTGCCAAATTGTTGTCTATTACATCGACGCTTCCGTAGTCGATGAAACGAACAGTCGTTATCTCAGTGTCTGCGTCAAGAACTTCGGCTCTATACCACTGGTTATCAAGCGAGTACATTGCAAGACAAAGTGACTTAACTGCAGGCACAACGTTGGAATCAAGTAATGGCGAGGATACCTGCTGAAGCTGATTTTGTAATTTTGCGATATTGTTTACCTGCTCAATTCTCTGAATCCATATCTCATTCGGACTGCTGATGTGCGAAACAACCACCTCGTATTTTTCACCTACAAACATCGTCATCGGTTTTGTGTACACAAATTCACTTTTAATCATTTTTTGAATGATGTCCAGTTTTCCACTGATTTTTTCACCATTCTCTGTCAGTTCAGTAATCCATTTTCGATTGACATTATAGAATGTTGCTGAAAATATTTTGCCCGTTAAGAGTGGTTCGAGGGCCTCTCTTTCAACTTTATCGCTACCTCCTAAATTAACAGTTAGTGACACCTCAACACTAAGTTGATGAGGCGTGTAGAATCGAGATTCTAGTGTTCGTATATTTTTTATAGGAATCTCTTTAATGATTCCAAAATCTATGAACATTACTGTACATTTAATTTCATTTACTTTCTTTACTTTAATTCGATACCAAATTCCATCATCACTTAATGCTGCATACACTTGATTCTCGAAGACCGCAACATGCTCCTCTATCTTCGAATAATAATTTCCCAGCTCTTCAAGAAGTTGATTTAGCAACACCTTTTCAGATATTCGTTGTAACCAGACACTGGTAGAATTGTTGATCCACGTAATAATAACATCGTGCGTAGAACTTAAAATTTGCATATTACATATCGGACTTATTATTTCAGTATTTTTACTCTCGATGATGTTTATCTTATTTCCATTTGTGTCAAACAACTGAACTACAAGTCTGTTTATGAAAAACAATAATTATTATTTTATGCTAATTTAAGATAAGTCATGCATAAGTTGAAATTTTGTTAATAACTGTTCTTCCTATTCAAATTATAGACAACAATTCAAATGTACCTGTTGCATTCAATTGTTTCAACAAAAATTTTAATATCTTTTCCTGTGATGGCTTTCTTTAATGTTTCATTGGCTGCTATTGAAAAGGGCATGTCAAAAAGAGCACATTCAATTGCCTGATTCTGCATTACTGAGAGCTGCACTGGTAATCCTAGCATCTAAATACAAATTTTTAGAATAAAAATTTATTCTATAACGATTTATATTCATTGTGTTACAAGTAACACTTCAATTAAATATTTTGATTTTTAGAATATTTTTATCAATTTTTTATAAAAAGAATAATTAAAATATTTAAAATAAAATACATATTTTATTTTAAATCGTTAAATAATACTCTTTTTATATATTTATTATACATACATACATACATACATACATATATATATATATATATATATGCATGTATGTATGTATGTATATATATATATATTCATAATAAATGTAATGTATTAAATTAGTGGTTAAGTATTATCAGATATCCAAAGAGTACTGCAATTTAAAACGTATACATTTATAAATTCATAAATGAAACATGCAGTGAGCATTACAATGTTACATTTTGAAATCCACGATTAATAAGATTAGTTATGAATCTTGTAAGTAGTAGTTTACATATTAATTATAACGCTGTTTTTATTAATTAATGTATCGAAAATTAATGTTTAATGATTTTGATGCTTGTAAACAGGAACAATCAAGTTGACGTGCAATTTCATTTACATTTTTTTTCTAAAAATAAACTCACACTTTCAAATGAAATTTGCTCGAGTTCTCCAGTATCTATGAATCTTACTTCACAATTTGCTTTCGTAAATTTTACAACTACGCCTCGTCTCCATTTCCCTCTACAGTTAACTAGGCAACCAGAGCCAAGACATACTTCATGACAAGAGAGTCGTGGAATCACCTAACATTTGCATATTTTTTTAAATTGTTTTTTTTTTTTTTATAAATAATTCTAATTATTCAATATTTCACGGATTATTTTATAATTTAATAAAGGAAATTTTCACTTTTATGAATGTTTATAGCATTATAACATTATGTAATGCTATTTCTCTTTTCTGGATGGGTGTTCTTATGGATGAAAGAAAAAAATAAATTATAAGAGTAAACACGACAAGTGATAGCTGTTTTATTAAAAATAAATGATGTTCATGATTTACTAAGAATTAGTAGTCATTATGATTTTTTAAACGGATATTTATATTTTATTTTTGGTCATTCAATTTCTTAAATGACTTCTTTAAAACTTTTTAGTATCAATTATATTTTTATTTTTAAGATTATACTTTTTTTCTAATGCAAAAATATATTTAAATATGTATAAATTATATTAGAATTTTTATAAAAAGAAAAATTTTATTTTATAATTTAACTTTTAAATTAATATTTTTATAGGAAACAAGTAAAAATTACGTATTAAATTATCTGAATATAAAATTTATAATTCTATTAACCCTTAATAAAAATGCTTGAAAAAACTGTATTACTATTAATGTATGTAAATAAATCTTATTAAAAATTTATTGCTTATTACTTTCCACATGAATTATTAATCTAATCATACATATTCTATTATAAATAAATAATAGTAATAATAAGAAGCTTGAATTTCTAAGATGATAATAAAAAGATGAATAAACAAACCTGTGGATTCTTTGTAGCCATAAATGTATCTACTTTTATTTGACAAGCTTCTGCTGAATAGAACTGAACATAAAATTTACCAATATTTTCTACACTTGATACCTTTACATGTAAAGCTTGTCCTTCAAGTAAATTTATATCCATTCTAGGTATATCTTCTTTATTTTCAATTGAATTTTCTGCAATAATATTTAAAAATTTCATATTAATAATTATGATTTCAATAAAAATATTTCTTTAATATTTAATAAAATATTTATCAATAGAATTTTTACAAAAGTTATGAATTTATTTAATTGAAATTTATTTGAATGTTTACCTATTAAAGTATTGTTTTCAGTTATATTAGAAAATATAGCTAGATTTTTATCTACTATTGTTCTACTAACGTCACTGCCATTATTGTTTAATGAAATCAAATATTTGCCATTTTTAGACTCATGAAAAATACACTCGAATTTTTCTGTATTAAAAAACTCGTTCAATTCCGTAAAATTATCCCAATTAGATCCGGTTACAGGTGTAATATTTTTAAGACTACAAAAAATCGCTTGTTTTGGTAATTGCATAAATTTTTTTTCTACTGCATAAACATTTTGTGGATCAACTACAGCTTGATCTCCATAATCTACATATTGAACTATGTATCCTGAAGGCTTATGTAATTCCACTATTTCAGCTCTATAAAGTATCCCATCATCAGGAAGAATTGCTATAACCGAATCGCCAATCTATAAAAATTAACAAAAAAACATTGCATATTTAGTATAGTAAATTAAAGTTACTTAAAAGCTAATATTACTTTAAGTTGTTCAGATATGGGTTGATGGTTTATGTATGTTGTTTGAATTTCATTCATCATATCACGAAAAATATTTTGTTGATTTACAAGTTGGCAATAAAAACTTTCGGGATTTATGAACCAAGTAAGATGTACGTTGTATTTAGTTTTTGGATCAAGTTTATTTTCTAACCACTTTTCATTCAGTGATGCATAATCAGGAAGAACTGATTGTTCATCTTTAATAATTTCTCTTATTTTATTACGTATAGTCTCTTTCTCCTTAATTAAATCTATACCATTAGCAAATAAATCATTGATATATTTTGTTGATTTCATATTACTGGATGACACTTCTTTTATCAAAATATTATAAACTCCATTTTCTTTACTGACAAATTCAGCCTCTAGAAGCTTATCATCTATTGTATTAGACAACAATTCTGATTCTTTTACAGACCACTCTATTTTTGAAGGGCAAAATAATTTACAATGTACAGCTTGAGCAGGAAGTTTTAAAAATTCTGGTTCTATTTCTTTAATTTTAGTAAAACTAACGTCTTCCATATTTCCATAATCAATAAATTGAACTGTGGCTTCGTGAGCTTTAACATTACCAACAATTGCCCTGTACCATTGTTCATCACCAGAGTACTGAGCTATGCATTGCAAACCTGTTTTTATGTTGTGTTCCCCTGAAGCCTATTAAATTTAAATTTGTTAGAGTGTCAAGTTCTGTTTATAACTTATATGAGAATAATCTTAATAAAATTTGAGAATCTAACCTTGCCTCCACTTTTTAAAGTGAGAAATATTTTATTCATAATTAAATTTAATTCCTCATTATCTGGACACAGTTGTACATAGAAGCTTACTGGATTATTATAATAAACCATTGTGCAGTTTTTTATAGCTCCAACAGTAATATTAGGTGGTGGAATTTTAAGAATTGGTGTTGATGAAAGATATTTTGATATCTTCTTGTTAGTGGTTGAAATTTTTTCCTCCGTTTCCTGATTTTCATTCCTTGACTAAAATAGTATTTATATTACAAATAATAATTTGTAAATAAATAATTTAAATTATATACTGTTTTTTGTATACCTTATTTGACCCAGAAGCATTATTCTTAAATGATTTAGTAGAAGTTGTATTTACATCACCTGCAAATATGAAAATATTTTACGTATGCATTCTGTAGTATTTATAAATATTTGAAAAATAATAAATTTTAATTAATATTAATTGTAAACTAAATTAATTGTAAACAAATTTTGACAATGATTTTAAATTAGATACTTACTGTTAATATTTTTACTGTACAAATTACTTGCTTGATCATCAGTTTCACAACGTCCAGTTATACTTCGATTATTTATTAACCCATCATGTTTTCGATAATCCTCGCTACTTTGCCTCTGAATACGATTGCTTCGTTTTCCATTATTGCGTAATGAAGTATCAAATTCCTTATTACTACTTTTTTCTGAACCAGAATATCGTTCCAAACGTGAACTTAAAGTAGTTCGATTTTCTTTAATTGTTCTGCTATGGAAGTCGTTGGAGTTGAAACTGTTATTATGAGTAGAACTTCTGTTGATACGATCATTGCTTGAATAATCTTTTGATCCAGTTGATCCAATTAAATTGTTTTTGCAAAATCTATTATTTTGTATAAATCTATCTGTTTTACTTCCGTCTTTATTAAATCGATTATTTTGGGCACCATTCATATAATCAGAAATACCTCGTTTATATCTGTTGTCAAATCGTTCAATTTCATTATCTTTGTGAAATTTAGCCTTTGAATTAGCGTGACTTTCGAAATTATTATTATGAGTGTATTCTCGACTACCTTTCTCCAAATTACTAGTATAATTATCACTTTAAATAAATTTAAATATAATTTAATTTATATAATATGAAACTAAAGGCAAAAAATAATTTTTTTCATATTAAAATTGACCAATATCATTTATATAAGCATAAATTATTTGTAATTCAAGAAATCCATCAAGGAATTTTATTTTATAATTTAACTATAAATAATTTATAATATATTACGCAAAAATTTTTATATGGTATTTAGAAAAAAAAAGAAAAAAATTATATTCATTTTTTAAATAATTTTCATTTAATCATTACGATTTTAATTAAAATTTGATATAATTTATATTTTACAATTTTTCTAAAATCAAATAAATGTAATAACAAAATCTTAATATAAGTATAAAACTAACATTATTTTAAAAAATTAAATATTTGAATCTATTTAAGAAAATTTGAAGTTTTTTCTAAATAAAATACTTTTATAACATGAAAAAAAGTAAAAGTTATATAAAATATTTAAATCAAATACTTAAGCAAATTTCTCTAATGTAAGAATATGTGAATGTAGTTAATTTTTTAAAATAACTATAATTATAAAAAATTTTCATTGTTCTACTAAGAAGTTTACCATATTTTTATGTTTTTATTTTTACTTTCATACTTTCGAATCAAAGATATTTAAATTTACATCTCATATCTTAGATGTAGTGGATTTTTTCTTCTTCAATTTTAGTATATTAAAATTTATAATATTAAAACTAATGCTTAAATCGCTTTAATAATAGTTATACACTTCATTTGATTATAAATGTTAGTAAATAAATAAATAAATGTTTAATATATTATTAAAAATGTTTCCAATGAAGTTGTTTTATTTATAACTATAGAGTGTAAATGAAGGAATATTATATAAAAAAAGAAAAATACATCTTACTTTTAATTTAATACTTACATTGCCTTTGAAGGTGATTCTACATTTATTTTATTTAATTTATCGTAAGAAATAATATTTTTCTGCTTAGAAGTTTCAAGAAGCTTTTCTGCAATATCTATTCTCACTGAATCAGATAAATTTTTCTCATCAAATAAATCTACTATAACAGTGTTCTGATGATTATTCAGAACTATTAAAATTAATCGTTCTTCAAGGACCAAACTTTCAAAATTCATAATAAGATCTTTATCTATGGCTCCCGATTGGAATCTGTTTAAACTACATTTAATAGCTTGTTTTGGAAGTGCCTTAATTAATTCAAAAGGTATGACTCGTATGTTATTGATAGATATAACTTCTTGATTTCCATAATCAACATAAAATACATGTACACTTTCATTATCTACTTTATCAATAACAGATGCTCTATACCTGAAATATTAAATTATAATAAAAGCTTAGAATTAATTAACTGATTTATTTAAAATTATTTTTATTATAGTAAAATTTTAATATTTATTTATAATTTTTCTAACCAGTTTTGATCAGCTTCATAAAGTGCTATGCAAGGCATATCAGGATATGTTTCAGCTAAAGTTAATTTTGCAGCCGTTTTAGAAACTTTCTCAATTTTTTTCATAACTTCTTCTAATAATTTTCTATCACTTTCTATTTGAATGAAAAATTGTACAATTGATTCAACATGAGTTACAAAAACAACTTCTCTCGTTCCATTTTTCATATGCCTTGGTTCAGAATAAATTAATTGACATAACTCTGGAAAAGTTTCACTTAATGTGTCTTTTAAGTTTTTACCATTTAAAAATAATTCACAGTACTGAGTTAATGGTGACATTGGTCCTTGACAAACTCTAAGTTTTAACTTTTTATTATAAACTAAATCTCTAAAATAGTCTTTCATTTCATTATTAACAACCCAATTCATAATTCCACTTAAAGTAAATCTTATAGAAAATATATTGGGTATGACAAATTCATCTGGTATTTGGTAAATGTCAGAAAAAGATAAAACTTCATGATGTCCATAATCAGCATAATAAACCTGTAAGAATAATTTACAATTTCACATCAGAATTAATATTATTTACAAATTTTCAATGTAAGAAAAACTCTAACCTTGCATGAAGTATCACCAGGAGAATTTAAAACAATTCTACAAAGCCTATTAAGACTTGTTTGCTTGCCTAAACATACTTGTCCTGCAATTGGTGATTCTTGTAAATACAGATGAGATTGTGAGTTAATTTTTTCCATCATGGTATTCAAATACGGTATCGATTCAATTAATTGTATTGAAAATTTGTTGGGGCCTTCATCTACATAAGAGATTTGTACATCATGTACAGAGCCTATTTCTAATTGAATGGCTTTAAAAGAGTTTGATTTGACTACTTTCTGAATAGATACAGCATTTTGAGATGCAGATATTCTCCAATTATTCTGTAGTGTTTTGCTTGTTGACTGAGGTGTACAAACAGACGCTGCTGGCAATGTAGTTAATTGTGAAATTTGTAAATTACATGGACTAAAAAAATATAAAAGAAAAATCGAGTTTTTAATATATTTAGCAATTATAAAATACTTTAAGTGACTATAAGATTATTGAAAAACCTGTATACTGCCATATTTCGATTTATTAAAATTTGACTAAAATTATTTTCCATTATAGTAAACTTGAGCATTCTGAAATTTTGAACATTTTGATAAACTCCATAATATTTATTATTAACTAGAATTGAACGAATATGTGTAACAACATCATCTAACCAAGAACATCCAATAGGTAATACATCTGCTAATACAAAAACAGAAGCTGCTTCAGGTAATAAAAATAAGGCTTTGGCTTCTGGATACTTATCCAATGAACGAATATTCTGAATAGGAACATAAGTAACATTTCCATAGTCAAGAAATTTAACTAAAATTAAATCTTCTAATTGTAGACTATAAAGTTTCACTCTACAAAAGTCATTGTTAATTCCTAATGCACAGCAAAAAGTATGGGACATAATATTATCGGACATAAGAATATTGTCAGGCGCATGATAATCAATTTTGTTTATTAAAGTTGCCAAAACTGATGTAATTGTCTGAACAAGTCTTTCATCAGTTTGTGCCCATATTTTTAGTAGCTTACCCTCTGCTTCTACATGTGTCACAACAAAAGCAAATCTTTCATTTTCTGTAACCATTGTAGTTTATTTTTTTTATTAACTTTCCTTTACAGCATAAAATCGATAACTAGCCACAACTTATTTAAATTGGTTTATATTCCAATTAGTCATGTGATATTTTTGAATGTACATATTTAAATCCCTGCAAATACTATAAAAAATTGTTTACTAATTTAAAAAGTAAAATAATCTTTTTTAAACTAACTCGAAGCTTTTTATTAATATTATAAGTATAAATGTAATTCTACACTTTTGATCACTAAGATATGATCTTAGTGATTCTATAAAATCTGGTTAGTGCAAGTCAATGTATATAATGATATGATGGTAACTTTTTTTAATTTGCATAAATATATTTTACGTTAGTAACTTACCAGTAAAGTAATTTGAAATAATTTTTCAGATCTTCATTAAAATATTGAAACTATTGAATGGCAATGAATGGCTAAACTGAAATTTAATATATTTTGTAGCAGTCTTTATGTTTCGATTAAAAACACTTATCAATCGCTGAATATAAAATGGCAGTTGTAAAATTATCAAAGTTATATTGAAAGGTATCAAAGTATATTTGAGTCGATTTATTCTTAATCAGAGCCAGTGAGATTTCGTATTTTATTATTTTTCACTAAACATTCGACATTCAACAAACATTAAGCTAGTAGATTAAAGCCACTTCTATACTAACGTTTCGAAGAAAAAATAGAAGCTGTGGTAAGTTCAATAATTAATACCCATTATATGCACGTATTCAACTCCCTCTGAATAACTAGGCAAAATATTTAATAATTAGCAATAAGTCAACTGTAGCAATAAGTATCTTCATCTGCAATTAAGTATCACACTGCTGATGCATGTACGTGAATAGATTGTAGCAAAGTATGAAGTACGAAAATGTAGAAGTAGCCGCAGAGACAATATTTTTACACAACGTAAATCATGATATTTAACATATATCGAGTTTAATGTACTTGGAAATTTTTATTAGCCCTTAATAATATTTAATTATTCCTTTTTAATTATGTAATTATATAATAATCAAAAATAAATTTCATCTAAAAATTATGAAAATTATAAAAAATTAGTATATTTTTAATAAACTTGTTTTGAATTGTATAATTTTAATTAAATTATGTGTGCTTATTATCAATCATTGACCTACATATTAAAAATATTTTGAAACTTAAAATAGCAATTAATTATAAGTTAATTATTATTTAGGTATTCTGTTATATATTGTATATGGATATAATTTTATTTCATTTTATATAAATTTTTTTAGAAAAATATTAAAAACCGTTTGATGTACAGTAACATGTAAAAAATAAAATTGTAAATACTCATTTATAACTTTGTCAAAAAACATTATTGAAAATGTTGTTTATGTGATTAAACATAAATGTACCTTAAAATACTTTGTCGAAACATCTTGATAAATAAATATATTTATTTTATAAAAATATAACGTATCGTGTTTTGCAATAATAATGGACTTTGTACATATTATTTTTTATATCATTCAGAAAATTCATAATAATGTTGTAATAATGCTTTATTATATTGATATATTTGAATAAATGTTTTGGAAATGTATTTACGAAAAATTTTAAGAAATTAAGAAATTTGAAAAATATGAAATATTGTTAAAAATTTACTATTTGATGATATGAACCCTATTTATAAAATGATGCAAACTTCCATAAAATAGATTTAATAAATTTATTAAAAATAAAAATTCATATATAATATTATGTAATTATTAATAGTTACTTACTTCCATAAATTCATTATTGAGTCTTAAAAGAAGTCAATAGTGAATATTATGGTAAAATTATATATATATATATATATATATATATAGGTAAATGTTAGTTTATAGGTTTTTGTTAATTAAGTTTTTATTTCTTATCTTGTTCTTGATATCGATATCTTTCACTAGTATAAAAAGATCATTTAAAGAGAAAAAGACAAGAAATAGTTGTAAATATTATTACGTAGTAAAAATTGATTTTTTATACTGTCATTCAATTTGATTGTATCTTTTATAAGATATATTTTGTTTCGAATAATAATTTAAGTGTTCTTAAAAATTGGAATTTGAAATTAAAAATTATTATGAAATTAAATGTATGTTATGTATATAATGATAAAAATTGTTATGTAATTAAAATTATAATAGTTTCTATGAGTTATTCAACAATACTTTTTTTATAATAATTTCAGACTAAATTTTGATTAGTTTGTTCTATTTGACTGCTTTTTTAAAATCCTTGTCTACTTTTATAATTTATCAATCATTAGATTGAAAAAGAATTTTTCTGATGAAAATTTTGAAAAGAATTTCTGTAAAACCTTTCTTGACTGTAATTCAAATGCAAAACCCTGCGTGTAGAACATTTAAATATAAATGGCTCGTTGACGAGGTAATGATAAAAAACAATAAATAATGTTTTCAAATTTATGCGTATAAAGAAGCAATAGATCGAGATAAGACTTTGATATAAAATTGTTTATTATATTTCTTTAAACATTATGCGATAGTATATTTATAAAAAAAAACTTGTTTAAAATATGTATTTTTTTATTTTATATCGTAAAGATAAAATAATCAAATTTCAGCATATAATATTAGTTATTTTGATTGATGAATATACATTTTTTGTATTTAATCATATTCAATAAATATACACAATGATGCGTATATACAATTTTATACGGTTCAATAATATGCATTCAAAAATATTTTCAATAATATGGAATGTAGAAAGGTTCCTAGATTGTTATTTTTCGGCAAAATATAATTCATTGCATTAAATTTTGGCTGTAGGTAAACATATTTTTAAATTATTATTCTTTGTATTTAAAATTCAATCAATAGTTACGATTTCAAAATATTTATATTTTGATAAATACGCATTTTTTTTTATAGAAAATGAAAAATATTAGGTTATTGATAGACACTGAGTAGTCATCAGTGGTGAATTTATTTATAATGAACTGATATTGTAATTAAGATACATCAAACCGCATGGATTCATACTAATTATTATAATGTAGTAGTAATAATAATACGATAATAATGTTTGCATTCAATTCATCGAAATTCAAATTCAAGTAAAAAAATAATTTCAGAAGTATTTATTTATATTACGATAGATTTCTTTCAAATTAATTTTGCTATTTTGTTTTATTATACATTGTTATAATAATTTCTAAAAATAATATTTTTTCCATTATATTTATAGTAATTACAAATTATAAAAATAAATTTTAATATTCCTATTAGTATTTTAAAACTGCAAACAAATTAATCATTATTTTATTAAAATTTTCAGCGAATTTAGTATTCTTATGAAATCTTAAGATAAAAAGATCTAAAAAAAAAGATTTGAGCAAATATATATTGACCGTCAACATAGCTTCATTACAAAATCTGTTTATTAATAAAGTTTCGTGAAGTTTTTAATAATAATCGATTGATTAAATTACTTGCACATATGCTTTTTCTAATTCTTTTATCGAATTTTTTTTATAATTCTTCGAATTATTTTAAAGTTTTAGTCCCATTGTAGATCTATATATGTTAATTAATTTTAATTTAAAATTTTACCTTATAGTGAAAGAATATTAAAATAAAAAGTATACAAAATATGGGTAAATTGTTTTAATTTTTTTTTTAATATTTAATTATATATATATATATATATATATATATATATATATATATATATATATATATATATATATATATATATATTTTTGTTATACATTAGAAACAAATGGTAATTATACATGTTTTTATTTTCATTTTAACGTATTAAAATAAAATATTAATTAATGGAAATTAAAAATTATGTATAATTTCAATACTATAATGAAAATTGTCTCACTCATTTTTTTGTATCTATCATTCAGGATCTATCATCTATCACACATCACCATCATCAAGGCAACAATTTAAAAAAAAATAAGCATTCATGATTTATATTTATAGGCTTATATTTATTTATAATTATTTATATTTGTTTTATAGGCTCTTTATAACAGTTTTCAAAATATAATTCTTATACTAAAAAACCATTTTTTTAAATTATATTCAAATACACATTTGTATAGTATACCCTGTGAATAATTTATTATTGTAGTATTATTTATGCGTAATGAAGATCAATATGTAACCACATGTTTTTAGTTTATTCGAAATTATATGTAATAATGCAATAAATCAATACAATCGAAATAATGTCTTAAAATAATAAAATACAAATTGTTTAATAAGGAATTAGTGAGTTGCGTAAAAAAAAAATAATAGAAAACGTTATTTTTTTTCTGAATTTAAATAAAATCTTTAAATAGTAGGTCCAACATCTTTTGATTGCAGTATTGCAATAAATAAACATTCTTATAGTATTATTCGTACATTAAATTTCACATTAATTACGTAGAAAAATTGTTAGGTAAATTAGTACAGACGTAATTATATTTTATTTTTTGCGATTTGTTTTAATAATTATCTCGGCTATTTGTATAGTTATGTTGTGTATATTTAGGGTCTATGTTTACAAATATAAAATAATATATAAGAGTAGGCCTGTGTAAGGGTGCATGGTGTAAATTAGAATAGTTCATCAAAGCCGTGGTAAAAGCCAACACCCATTACGGTACCATCAACAGGTATTTCAGATTTGAATGAGTTTTTTTTGAGAGACAATAATATATTTTGAGAAATAATTTATTGCTAGTTACGTGATGTGCAGCTCAGATCGATGATAAAAATTAAAAATTTAATTTTCATTCCTCGGAATTTAAGACTTAATTTAAATGCACTACCATCTTTCTTCCTTATTTCTCCCTTCACGAAGTGGCTGCGAACGGACGTGTCGTCGGTTATCAGATAAATTTATAAGTGCGCGTGTACAGGAGGGCACGGGCGACGGCTTAAGTTAAATACCTAATTCGTAATCACCCAATGGGTGCTTGCTACGGATCCAAAGCGGAAGGGTTTGCTCCTACTTATCACTTTCTATTGTGCTATTGTGGCGTCAATTAAACATTGGAGTATCTTACAGTTACCCGCCATTGGTTAGATTTTTTTATTTGCTTAAAAACATTTATTTTTGAAATTCCTTAGAATTAGTCGATTAATCTACCATTGTTAGCTCTATTCTTCTACTTGTCGATACTACTTCTGCTCTTCTCGCACGTACCATTTTTTTGTTGGCATGTATTTACCCAGTCCTTTTACTATTCTGAGAAATGCTTATGAATATTTAGCATTATTGCATATGTACATGAGTGTATGTATTTCTGTATATATTCTGACTTACTATATTTCGATTTTTGTTTTTCAAATATTATTCTATAGTATTTTGTCTTTCAATGCAAATTGTACTGTTAATAATCATAATAATAAAAATGTTTAACTTCATAAAAAACTCTCTTATATATACTAATAATTGTAAATGTACTAATGGGCATTATATAATTGCATAAGCTTGTGAATTTAACAAATAATAATTGTTTAGATATGTCCCCGCGAATTTATGATAAATTGTGGTATTAATATCGTAAAATATTATGCATTATTTATACAAATGAGTTACATACGTTGAACTAATCATACAATATTTTAATTTATAACAATTATATATAAAATTTTAGAAATTTTTATGTATTGTACACATTATTAAGGCTTAGATTAAATAAAGTAATGGCCTATTGTTTGATAATCTTCTAAAGGAATACACAGAAATAAAATAATATGAAATAAATAAATGAATAAATAAATAAAACAATTTTATATAAATTACGACATTAGAATACAATTTTTAATTGGCAAACAGTAATATTGGGTTAGAGAATGAAATCGAGAGTAGTAATCAAGGTTCAAGTTAATATTGTATGAAAACAAAATCCCAAATAAAATTTAAATACAGATATGCCATAATTATTTTTGTGAAGTGAAAAATAAATCTAATCTTGATTATATTTAAAAGAGTAAGAGAGTGTTAATTAGAATTTCATTAATTTATGTTTGTATTTTATTGATGAAATGGGAAAAGTGCAAGAAAATAGCGAAGGTCATTTAAATACATTTTTGTTGCGTCATGCGATACTATTCATATGCGGAGAAAGGCTGAAAAGCGAAGATGAAGATACTCCTGCTGACATACCATACCAGCTCATACTTTTACATGTTTTGAGCGTTTTCGGATATTACGTTACCGGATTTTATTACCCCTCGACGGTTTTCAAAGCGCGCTTCCGGCCGCTTGAAACTGCATCGCGTGCGTCCCTGGTTTAAGAGCCATCGCCCTCGCGGTTCTCCTTTGCTGTGCTTATCGTCCCCTGTTCATAGAGCGAGATCAAAGGTGGCGTGGGTGGCAAGAGGGGGTGGCGGTGGGGGTAAGAGAGGGGAAGAGAGAGCGGCAAAAGCAGCGTCACAAGTCACTGTCACTATTCTCACATGTGTCCGCACACTTTCTCTCTCTTTCTTACTCTTTATCTCTCTCTCTCTCTCTCTCTCTCTCTCTCTCTCTCTCTCTCTCTTTACATGTATAGATGCATACATACGACACGCATAGATAGAGAGTAGAGGCACAGATTGTCATAAGAGCCGTCGCCGACACGCACCGCAGCCCGGTGGGACGAAAATGTTTGTGCGAGGGCCCTGGGCTGCAGAGTCGACCTTAACGCAGCTGCGCTCGCACGGGAAATCGCTCTACTCCATAAACGCGCTGCTTTCTTCTGAAGCCACCAAGTGTTAGTAATCGTACTCACGGGTGCAGTTTTGCTTCGCGCGCATAACTATAATTCACGAATCACGATGCGTCTTGACAGCCGCGTGTCTTTTCACGAAAAAAGCTGTTACGGAGAAGGTGTCGTACTTTTTATCTCATTCTATTATTCAGTGCGAGTTAACAACAGTGCAGTACAACGATTTTGAACGGCTGTCGAATATAGTATTGAGTGATACGAGTACTTGCAGCTTTAGAAATATTAATCAAACAATTAAAATCCATTATAGTTTGCGAACGAAACGTAAACTTGAAATTCTCAACGCTCTGAAAATACCAGTGGTAGGCTTTAGTAGGCACCCACAAGCTTCTGTGAGCATATATTTGGCTATATGCTCTCTGGCCGTACGGTATTAGACTAAATTTATCACGAGTCCCATATAAGCTGCTTTTTCCTTATGCACTCACTTTCTCTTTCTTTTTCTATAAATTCTATTCTAACGTTACCATTTTTTACATATATCTTTAAGCCTTTACTTTTTATTCTTCTCTAAATATGTAAACATGTGCGCGTGTACACGACGAAGCAAGCGTAATTATTATAATCAATATAAACGATTAATAAGTGAACATATATATATATATATATATATATATATATATATATATATATATATATGTATACATATATTTGTAATCAATAATACTGTCAATAATTATCACTTATGAGTTATATTTTTGTACAACAATATAATAATGTTTTAAAAACAAAATATTATTGTATTTAAATATGTATACGTATAATTGAAAGTTATACATTGGAAAGCATAAACATATTTCAAACTCTAAAGTAATTTTGATATATAACAGATATTGTTATAGGAGTATCTTTGACTACATATATCCAAATCAATATATTTCATTACATAATTAAAATAAAACTTATTAGTTCTTTCAAATATAAAACTAGTATAATTATTTAAAAATAAACATATATTTATCGTATATATTTTTGTTAAACTTATGTGAAAAATTGAAGTCGCTAAAAAAAAAATTGAAATCGCTTTTGAAATTCCATTTAGAAATGGTATACTAAAAGATGATAATAATTAAACATATTAGAAGTTATGTTTGGTAATAAATATCATTTAAATAAGTATAAATATCATATAAAATACAATTGTATAAAAAAATATAGACATTTTTTGTTGCGTGATTGATGTTGTTTTTTTTCTTTGCAATAATTTCATTTTAAATAATTAACTAAAATTTTCTAATGTTAACAATATTTAGATAATTGAAGGAATAATACTCTTGTTTTTATCAGCTATAAAAATGAAAACTTTATTTAAAAATTGCGCAATATATTTATAAATATATATATATATATATATATATATATATTTTTATAAATATATTGCGCAATTTTATATATATATATATATATATATATATATAAAGAATTGAAAAATTGATGCGTTTAGGTAAAAATAAATTTGTTTTTATTGTTGCAGTAATTAAATACTACACTAAGCTAAAGGGTTGGTTAGCAAAATGTTTAGTTTCATTAATATCAATATCTATGTCAATTGACTATAAGCATTGATTAGATGAAGGTGCACATATATTAGAGAAAATAAAGCGAGCTTCTATTTGGGGAAAGCAAGTATGTCGGGGCTCGATCTATCGCATGGATAATGAAGCTGACGAAGACGAGCATCGCCTTTGCCAATGAATGTCGGCAAAAAAAACCGCCATTAACTTTCATTTTATTAATTGCCAGCCTTTTTATGCTTGAACCCATTTACTCTGGTTTGTATTTTACACAATTTTTTCTCCTTTTCTTAGATATTGCGCTGGTAATAATGCTAGTAATTTACTTTTCTACTTACCAAGAATTCGAGAAAAAAATTAGTTAGACGAGCGATATTTCTAAGATTATAAATTAAGACTATAAATGTTAATCTAAAATTAAAAATTACAAAATTCTTTGATATTTCTGAAAAGCAATTATTTTAAATCGGTTATTAAAAACTTTCTATAAAAAAATTATCTTGCTATTTATGAGATGTATATCGAGGGCATCGCGTACGTACACACCTGGAGTCAGGCAAAACACAATGGGTGAGCCCAAAACATCATAAAGACGGCTATTGTGTATGTATTTGGCTCCGACCCCTATGTTTGCACTCAAATAGAAAGACGCGTGGGGTTCTTCAAATTTAATAACTACAGTAGAAAATTAAGTAAAGATACCACAAAGAAGGTAGAAAAGATAGAAAATATTAAAGAACGTAATGCTAAACTGCCGATAAATCACAATCAATATCAATTGTTTATTGATTATGGTTGGTTTAAACTTGACATGTTTATAGCGTCTTCTGAGAGCCAAATGGAGAGTTACGGCATGCCACTTGATAGAAAGTTGAGAAATTTGGATGGCAATCTTCCGATTTTCGAGCAAACAGCCTCTAATGTCACAGCATTCGAAGGACAGACCGTCTATCTACCATGCCGAGTACATAATCTCGGTGACAAAGTCGTAAGTAAGATGTTTGAGCATTTTTTATAAGATAAGTGTATCGGGCATATATTCAAATTGATTTGTGTCTGTATTATACGTCAAGGATCTATGATTGCTACACGCACTCCTCGTTTATGAAAAGATTTATTGGAAAAATGGAAATTAAGAACTAAAAAAATTCGCAATAGTAATGATAAATAATTTCATCTTTTTATTTATTCCTTCATTCATTTTTCACTTATTACGCATAAATGTATTCAAACGTCAATGTGTCGTTTGTTATGTCAGGATATATCCTAATTTTTTAATCATACAACGTGCACAGTAAGCAAATTAACTCTAATTTTCATTGATTTTAAATAATGTATATTTCTTATTAAATATATTATATAAAGTAACTTTCTAATCAGAATAAGATATCTTTTTCATCGTTTTGAAATCACTATAAAATCTACTGTTTAAATTAGTTAATATTTAAATTATTACTGTAATCATTTTTATTACATAATGAGATGTTAAAATTTTACAATAAAACTATATAGAATAAGGATATATATGGTATTGTATATTTAACAGGTATATTATTATATAAGGTATAAAAAAGACCTTCTTCATAATAGCTTAAATGTTTAGTAGAGTTCACAACTAATACGATGAATCATCACTTGAATTTCATCTCAATTCATATTGTCTCACGCGCTATGTGAGAATATTAACTTTTTTATGAAATTTACATAAGAATAAATTTTAAATATTTTATGTACATAGTTTCATTTTTTAATTACTTAATATGTATTACATATTATTTCTTAATATTTTTCTTTTTTTAACTATTTCATATCTTTACGTATTATAAGTTTATGTTGTTAAATTCTTATTTATAATACATGAGTATTTATTATAATATACTTTTAATACATTAAAACTTTGCTAGATTTAAGGAAAATATTAACTCAAATGAATTTATAATCATATATTAAATAATACTATCAGTATATGATGAAACAGAAGATGTGAAACATATTAAAATGTTTTATATACAAAATTATGTTTGTTAGACAACTATTGCTATTGCACACCCGTATTGTAGTATATAAATTTTGTATAAGCATAGATTTGTAGATTTATATATATGTGTGCAGTAATTACATAATTCTAATGTGTGCAATAATTACATAATTCTAATGTGTGCAAGAAGAAATATACTTTAAATTTAAGAAATTTAAATGTCGTAGTTTGCAAAAAACGATTATAATAGATATTTTCTACAGTATATTATGTAGCTCTTACATCATTCTGAATAAATAATAATTTATTTAGTCGATTAAATTTTAATAATTTATATTCGAGGGAATAATTAATAATATCCAAATTTTCTATTTTTCTTGGTTTATTTCATTCTGGCACCTGTGAACAAGAGGAAATAAAAATTGAATAAGGAAAAAACAACAATAAAAAATATAAGATCTTTACCTTATATTTCTTTAAATGTATGAAGCTCTAATGACACATTAGGAAGTTGTTTTGTTTCATTTTCTACCGTTCATGTTTTCACAGCGTTCAATGCTAGAGATGCACACATCCAAGAGATTTATATATTTGCGTGTTAAAGATTTTTTTTACTAGTCTTTTGATAAAGGAGTAGATACATTATGGCCGTTGAGTAAGGTCAGAAAATGACTGGATGCGAATAATACTTTGGATAAAGGAAATAAAGAAAAGCTAAGAACGAATAAATGCACCTGAATAGCTTTGCGCGATTACGTAGAGTTACTTTATATATAAATGCTTTATTATAATCTAGTTGTTGCTGTGGAAGTTTAAGTATCACGTTAAAAAATTTCTATTGTGTTCTTATTAATTATTTCATACATCGTATATTTGTTTTAGCGTGCTGCTACATTCCTATTCCCCTTATACTTATTGCTACTACATTGAATTAAATTCAATTCGAGAATAAACTTGCTTACTTGGAAATTAATCGATTAACAAGATATTCTAATACTTTTCAATATTAAAAAATTATCTTTCTTTGCAATTATATATAGAAAGATTGTATAAGGTTTCTTTACAATCGTTATGTATTAGTTTCTATGATTGCACAATCGATTAAATCAATACTTATCATGATAGCTTTGTTAAAACAAATTTTAGTTTAAGGTAGTGTAAGGTGATTATTATTTCGCAAATTCGGTCATCGGCCTCAGTCTAATAATGCTGATCTCATCAGTCGGTTAAGAGAGTGACATATTATTGCCCATAAGGATAATCGCAACCAAGTTACCAATTTTAGCTGACGATTATATAACAGATCATATGATGATTAGAGTCATTGATTTGAGTCCATTTGAAAGTTATTATACTAAACACAATTGCTTCAAATATTATTTTATAAGCAAATATCAAAATTTTATAAAAAGATTTGATGATTTTTCAATTTGATTCATTATTACTGTTCAAGATATTGACTTTTAAGTAATAACAAATTATTAAATAGTATAATTATGGAAGCGTGTTTTTTTATAGAATTATAATAATAAGTATTGAATTCTTTAAAACAGTTTGTTTTCAAGAAAATTCTTGCAGTATAATTTGTGTATCGCATTAATTATTATATGTATATACGCGCATACATAAAAAATTTAATAAATGATTATTCTCATAAAAATTCATTTTATTCTTTGAGATTTTAATAATGTAATGAGATGAGAGTATTTTATTATTTAATATTATATTTTTTTATGTAACAAAATATCAAAATTTTTGTATCTGATAAGCGATGAAGTTATTAACATGATAGCAGAATTCATGCAAGGTTACACAAAAATATAAAAATTATGAAGGGAATAAATTTCTTTTCAAAATAATAATTTAAGAGAATTTCTAAAGTAAATTTTCTAGTATTATAAAGAGTATCTTGATAGATGATCGATTATCAGAAAATACTAGTCTGGTAACCATACAGGACAAGTGTGTACGCTATAGTTGGATAAAAGATAATGTGTTTACAATTTAAAATAGATTTTAATTAGGAAGATATGCGTAATATGACAAAGTTTTCATGGTACATATTTATGATATAAGTGATATACTTTTTTTCTCTCTTACATTTGAAATCAAATCCGATGTTTATTCTAACTTTCGTATTTGATGCTGTTCAGGACGTTTAACTGCTTATTCAGCTATTCATATTATTTAGCGAACCATTTTGCCATGGACATTTACTTTCGTCTCTCTTATTCTTCAAATACTTTCGAGCATCACAACAGTTTCATGAATGATATTTCACACATAGGCTGTTCACTACATATTTTTACATTTCCATATCGATGTTCAGGTATAGTAACGCGACAGATCTTTAAAATAAGGCATAATAATATGAATGTATTCAATAGCTAAATTTATGTTGTTCATTGTAAATGATCAGTTTACTTTTTTAGATATAAAAGAATTATTAGAAATTAATGGATTATTTCAATTCTAATATATTAAAAATAATATTATATATTAATAAATATACACAAATTAAAATAATGTCACAATATTTTTGTATATTTTGAAATTTATAATTTTATTTATAATTTTTTCAATAATTATTTACATTATTACATGTTATTATGCCAGCCACTTATTGTGAATGCTATATTTTGCTTTTTAATTATGATATAAAAATGACTTAAATAAAGAAATGCATATTGATATCGGTAACTTGGTGCTATTCCCAAAATCATCATCAAAGCAAATGGCATAGACTTCGGTTCTCAGACAAGTAAAACCGTATTAATTTTCTTCTTAAACATAACATGGTTAATTTGTATAAAGTTATACAATTCAAAGTCATAATATGCACAAGAATTTACAGAAGAGTATTACAAGCTAATTGTTATTATAGTAAAATTTGTAATAAATTAAATAAAAAAAAAATGTAAAAGAACTACATTAGAAAAATTAATTCCTTTTGCATTAGACGTAAGTAATAGAAAGAATTTTGTAAAGAAATTTTCATCTGTGCTAAATAACATTCGATCGAACTATTATATTTGACTATAAATAGAAACGTTACAATAATATTATTACTAGCTTTGTAATTTTATCTATTAACAATAATCGAGTTCTTCATCCAAGATTGTAAATAAATGAGCGATAACTTTTATTTCGTGATATATCGCTTTTGAAACATGTGTATTATAAAAAAATGGAAAAGAAAATTCCATAAGAAAATTTTATAATAAATGAAATTATTTTTCAAAATAATTTGCTATAAAAAATCTTTTATGAAAATTAATTCGAAAATAGTAATAGGTTGTTCTACATTATATCCGTATTATGAAAGTATTTTAAAATTAAGATAATATTCTATTATTTGTAAGTGTTCAAAAATAATATTTTGTCATAATTGTATTTGTAAGCTAATATAATCCAATAATAAAACAGAATGTTTCAACAGGTTTCAATATAAATGACTTTATTTTAAAAATCTAATTTCTAAATTTCTAATCCAATGTTCAAATCAGAAATAAAATGGATGTTAAATCGGTAATTTACGATAATAATTGCTAGTATAAACATATTATAAGTCAATAATATATATTTTAATTAAAAGTATATAACTGAAAATATTCAATTTCAAGTAATTATTTTTATAACGAAAATTTTATAAAAATTGAAGTTATGCCAAGCATTTTTTAAATACAGTATTTTACTTCGAAACACGATTAAAATTTTTTGACATAAATTAGATTTTTATAAATTTCATAGGCAATATTATATATTTTATTTTTCATATGTTAGAAGAATTTCTTTAAAAAAAACTTGTAAACATATCAATTTGTTTAATTGAGATTGAATAAAAAAAAACTCGAAATAATATAAAATAATAAAAGTAATATAGTAATTAAAATATATAGTTTTACGAAAATATAGATATATGAATAAATACATTAATTTAGTATTTTTTAATATTTTATATTTTATTTTTATCTGTTGTAGGTTTCATGGATGAGAAGTAAGGATTTGCATATTTTGACATCTGATAATATTACTTTTAGTTCAGATGAGCGTTTTAAGCTACAACATTTGACTGGGAGCGATGCTTGGACTTTACAGCTTAATCATGTTAAAAAATCCGACATAGGCCGTTACGAGTGTCAAGTCAATACGGAGCCCAAAATTATGTATGCAGTGCAGTTAATAGTTAGAGGTGAAGTTTTTATTAATAAATAATAAACCGCATTTATATGAATAAGTTTGTACTATTCTTATTGCCTGTATCGTAATATCACAATCTTATGGTAATAAATTAATCTGCTTTAAATTATTTAATATAATTTTACATATTACGTATTGGAAAATTCAGTTAATTTGTACGTAGATTATATGAAATTAAATTTCCTATTTGTTTCTGTTGTATTAGTAATTTATTTGTTTCTATAGTATTTTCTATATTTAAAAGTATTTAATATTTTAATATTTCTTTAAATGAATGATATAGAACCTGCATAGTGTGCTTTATAGTTAAAACCAATTAAAAGGTGATTAATATGTTGAAAATTTAAACTTATACTTTAATCCTCCAGTGTCTATCATTTATAAATAAATTTGAAATTACATTATAATATTTTGTCGGTGTTGCAATAATAATAAAAGCTATAAATAGCATACGTTCTATTTGTTTTGGGAACAAATTTTTTTCTTTTAAAGCTAAAATAATTCCAATTTCTATTACTCCCAGCTATTGACATAGTTTGTATTTAAAAATTTATAGTAGCCAAGGAACTTGTATATAATTCTAGAGTTCTGCGTAGTTTTACTGAAGAAATTAGAAAAATTTTAGAAATTTCTATCTACTTTATTTGTTTTTTGATAATTATTTGTTGTTTAAGCAAAATTTTTTAAAAATATTTCAATGTATACAAAAGAAGTTTAAATTTAATATTTGAGTTTCTTAATATTCGAGTCTGAAGACTTTAATTGATTTTATTTACACACACACACGCACGCACACACGTACGCACGCACGCACACTGACATATATGTGCGTGTGTGCGCGCGCGCGTGTGTGTGTGTTTATGTCTGTATAATATACCATTGTTATACAAACTGATACATTCTTTTCATTAAAAGAAACTCTCATGAATCTGAAAAAACTTGCATTTTAGATTCAGATAAGATCCATGGATACGATGAGCCACAGTCTCAACAAACTCGAATAAGTAAGTATAAAAAAAATGTTAATGTGTCAACATGCTTGGTTATTGTTATACATTGTAATGTATAATTAATGTATGTATTTGAAAAAAAGTGAAAATATAACAAGAAAGATAATGAGGCGGCATTAAAAAGAATGTTTGGTAAGATTAATGGTAATTATAGAAAAGAGTTTCAAGAGACTCACAAATGATGATCGGTGATTGAAACATTTCATTGTTGGGTAATGGTTATCCACTTGGGATTCATTTAAGTACAATGGGGTTAGCCTTAATCTTTTGTTTTCTGATGTTCTTCGGCAGTTCCACTTCGCACTTCCCTGTACGACCCACTGAATATTTGTTTGTGCTATAACTGACACTAGTTAGAAAAAAAAGAGTGGAATATCTCCAGGCTGCTTTTAATAATGCACGTTCATTTTAACATTTTTGATTAACACCTTTTTAGTCTATGCATACCGAATTGCCTATTTAGCTTATACTTGTGACAAATTAAAGTTTAATTGTCTAAGTTTAATTGTTATTAAAAACATTTAATGAAAACAAATTTATTTAAATTTACGACTTGATTAATTGCGAACTATTTAAAATTCTTAATTTCAAACCAAAAGTTTTAAAAGAAAAGTTCTCTTTTAATGTTTGATAATGTTGATAATGCTGAGTTATTTTAGGCTACGAAAGCACGGCACCAGTTGCTGCAATAATGGGTCCACGTGAGCAGCGAGTTCAAACTAGTTCGACGATTACTTTGAAATGCGTTATTACGTCTCCTTATCAAACTCGTCCTATAAAGGGCGTGCAGTGGTTCAGAGATAATAAATTACTTACATTCCAGGTAACTAATCAGGTTAATATAGATTATACTAAAGAAGAAATTTATAACATAGAAAAGAAAGAAAATTCGTGAAAAAACAACAAAATAGAACATTCGCGAAAACTACATTAAATAAACTACTAAATCCTTTACGTTATTTTGTAGGCTAACAGAGGCGGCATCAATGTTGAAACTGTGACGGGTACGGCTCAAACATTCACTGAAGTAACATTGGCGAATGTAACGTGGCAGGATTCGGGCAAATACACGTGTAGACCTACAGAGGGTAAAGCTGATACCATCATGGTTTATGTTGAAAATGGTAAGTTTCCTTTACGTTGATTTGCTATAAAATCATATTTTTTTATACATATTCATGTTTACAAAATATTTTAAATAAGATCTTTATTAGATATATAGCAAACAAATGTATTAAAAAAAGTATGATTTTTAATAATTCACTATATTCTTATATTTCTCTGTAATTATATAACAATATTGTTTGTTACGAATTTTAATTTCACGAACATCTTTCTAATTTTTTTAAGTGTCTTTTGCAAATTTTCAAATTTTATCTCCTTATAAACAAATTTAAGTACTTTTCAGAATTTAAAAATCACAGATTTACAACTAATTGCTTAAATTAATTTTTTTATAAATAAATAGAAATTATAAGCTACTTTTTTAAAATTTACATTCGCAATGTAAATATTATTGCTACTTTCACCAATATTTTGGTATAAATATTACAAAATAGTTAGAAATATAATAATATTCTAAATTTTATTATTTATTTCGTATTACATTTCAGAAAATTAAAAAACTGCCAAATTCTTGACATTTCACCAACAAGTTAACAAAAAAGATTAAATGAGTACAAATGTATTTTAACATCATAGAATTGTTTACGTAAAATTATTTTTAAAATAAATATTTTTTACATTTTATATGAAAAATAATTATTCAACCTATAATTTTTTATTACATAAGATGTTTAATACAATATATATATATATATATATATATATATATGTATTGTATGTTTTTTTCATAAGTTTGATAATATTTTATTTTGTTTCCTTTTATAATATATGTAAATATGTTTATAATTTTAATGATGATGTAAATAATTTATTATTTGATAATATGTATGAAATTACTATGTACTTGAATTAATTGATTTATTGATTCAATTTTTGAGGATTAATATTGAGTATCAATTAGTAAAATTATAGAATAATATTGCAAAGTTTTCTTTATAGACACTATTCTTTATAATACACTTTTAGACTGCAATATTTTTATCAAGTATTTATAAACTGGACCATAAGGTATTCATTGTTTAAATGAATATTTTAATATTTTACACAAAAATATTTCATTATCAAAATATATTTGATTGTAATTCAATTGTTAAAAGAAAAATTCTTTGATCTATCAAATGTTTATCTTCATATCGTAAAAAATTGGATAAGATTATCATTTCGTCGTTACTTTTACTTGCATCTTTACGTTAAAGAAATATTACATAAATATTAAGGAAATATTAAATATTTAATTTCTATTAAATTATATTAAACATTTATGTAATTAAACAATATTAAACATTTTATAAAATATTATTTAATTATCAGTAATAATAGAATAATTAAAATTTTTTAATAAAAAATATTATTTATATTACATTACAAATTTAAATATTAAGTTTCATGATTGTTTAAAAAACAAAAAATTAAAAATTAAATTATTTGCTTATCCAAACTAAAACTAAGAAACATTAAAAAATATGATGAAAATAATATAATAATAATAGTTGTAATGTTCGTAATACTGTGAAAATATAATACATATAAATTTTTCTTTAACTTTACATATATAAGTTTTATAATTTATATACATTTTTGCACAATTACAGTCTTGATTTATTTTATCATGAAATATATGTATAAATTACTTATTGATAGATTACTTATATTTTTATTATTTAGTAAATATTTTGATATTTATTGGTATTTTTATAACGATTAGCATACGATTTAAGACTAAATTAAACATTTGTCATAATCATATAATATAAATGTAATTACGAAATTATTTTATAACTTTCAGGAGAACATACAGAAGCTATGCAGCGTGATACTGCGTACACATCTTCGAATACTTTTCATAACTTAGACAAGTTACTTTGGTTAATTACCGTCTTAGACATTTTTATTAATTCAAGTATCTATGTATCTTCAGTATTTTATTAATATTTATGATAAAATTAAAATACTTTGTAATTCTAATGTATGTATAAACTTATGTCTTTTATATTTTTGTTCATATTTGAAATATACTTTACATTAATGTTTTTTGTAATTAATGTAACTCTTTATTAGTATTAAGTATAAACTTACAATTCTTACTTTATTTTATTTTATATTGTAACAATTATTTTATATCATAAATGTAGATAAAACAGGTAAGATATATTTCATTTTCTTTATTTCAAAGATGATTAAGAGACGATATATGATGAAGAAATAAAAGTCCATTAAATAAATATCAAAATTTTAAATATTTTTTTCTTAATTCTAATCAAAATCTCTCTTTAATTTAAGAAAAAAGTTATAACAATATGTGATAAAAATTAAGAATAAAGCATTTTAATTATTAAACACGTTAATTCAAATCTATATTATAAAAAAATATGAGAACCTATATAATTTAAAATCTTCTAAGTGCATGGATATTAAATAATTATGATAGTCAATTAATACATAATTTATGCAGGATAGGATATAATAAAAATGAAAATTCAAAAGTATTTACTATAATAATGAGCTTTATTTTGAGTACAAAAAACATAAATTGTTTCTTATATAATTGTTCATTAAATATTTGAAATTTCATTAAAAATATAATATTTGTAATTATTATCATTTACTAATAATCTTATTTTAATCATTAGATAAGATAATACTTATAATTATTTGAATTATTATCATTTACTAATAATCTTTTTTTAATCATTAGATAAAATTATGATAAATTACAGAATTTTATTGAATATTTAATACGTGAGATTTAATAATTGAATAAAACAATTTTAGAACATATGCAAAATAATTCTTTATTCGTAATTTTGTTTGAAACTTATACTGTATTACTTTCACAGAGTACATTTTATTGATGTAGATATTTTATTTTCAAACTAATTTATAATAAATAATAATAACATAGATACAAACATACGGTTTTCAAATTAGTTCAGTAAAACATTTGATATTCTAATAGCTGTAGTAAAAAATATAATTGTTATTTACATTTAAATAACACATTAGATATGAAACATTTAAATATTTTAATACATTCTCTTATTGACTGAAGAAATTTATGTACAAAATCTACGTTAAATGGTTGAATGTGTTCTCGATTTTTCATAATTATTTTATTAAATATTATTTCTTAATGAAATTAGGCTTAAAAGAAATGATCAAACTTTATATTTTAAAATTTATTTCAACAATTTATTAACTGAATCTCTATATTGCAAATTTATTTTTAATATAAAATACGCATGAATAAAAATGCTCTACATTGTTTAAAATTTAAATTGCTATAAAAATTCAATGAAATGTATAATAAATTTTAATAAATTAAACTCATTTTAATTATAATACATTATGGATGTATTTATAAACTTACATTTTTAATATTTTTTATAGATTTTTTTTTATAAATTTTATAAATTAATATTAATTTACAAATACATAGAAAATTTTATACAATTAAAGACGTTTTGGAAGTACTATTTGGAGGTACAAAATCTGTTAAAATTATTTTAACACTCTTTAAATGTTGTTAGAGTAATTAAGAAATAATGTACGTATATTAAATAATACATTATGTCATTTCATCTAATTCTCATATATATGACAATTTAGAGTTGTAAGTTTGAGTTAAGATTTTACGCATTCATCATCATAAATTAATGTTAATAAATGAATGAATATCAATATACGAATAAATATACATAATACGTGTATAGTAAATTATTTTATTGATGTACAAAATAATAATTCGTATTTGTACAAGAATAATCATTAAGCAAGATTCGACTTTTTGCATTCTTATTTTTTACTGTACAGTTTTTCATCTTCTCATTCATAGAATATTGCTAATTATTTACATACAGAAAAATAATTGCAGATATTAATAAAGGCGAATTAATAAAAGCAATAAAATTTGTTGAATAATGGAAAACCACTAGTGCGGAGCATTAGACATTAAATTTCTTGTTTAACATTCGTTAATAATTTTTTTAATAAATCAAAGTCGTCTCTAATTTATAATCGTACTATTGATAAGTGCTTGCTTACACTTAAAATAGCTACGAATGAAAATATTTAATAAGATTTACATAAGATATTGCAATTTTCGAATGAATAGTACAAATTATATAACATTTAGTATATTCATGTTTGATTTAGATATTTTATTATGTTTTTAACTTATTTATACAATAATTATTTGAACTGTCTATAGATGTAGAAATTGTCGAAATCGTAACGATGTTACTGTCCATTACTTATACCGTGTCGTAGTTATACCTTTACAGTTAATTCGAGTCTGATTTTAGCTAAAATATCTAATATATATATATATATTCATAAATACACACGCGTACTTATAGACATTCACAGACACATACATACGTTCATACATTCCTCCAGTGATGCTGGTCCACGTTACATCTTAAAAATTATGTACTAGCTCACCTGATTAAGTTATTCATCAGTAGAGTCAATAAAGCAAGCAGAAAAATTGGAGCGGCGTTGCTTTTACCTGTATCACCATGCTGCATTGCCGCTGGATGCTCACCTGTAGAAAGTATCAATGCATTAGTAATTATGCTTGTAAAATTAAATAAAATTGTTCGGTTATACATAATTTTTTTCTATCAAGAAAGGAATAGATAGCGAATTGGTTCCTACCGTTGAGCACATGAACGGTGACGCTAGCAGGATTGGCATTACTTGGGACGCATGTGTAGTTACCACTGTCGCTGACACGGGCTTGCGTTACAAGAAGTTTGCTCGTCGTACCGCTGTCGGTCTTTTCGGTCTCCAAAGAAACTCCACCCCTGCGAAGAACACTGAGTTATCAAATATTGTTTTCAGAATCTATCTATTTTTTCTTCGTTAACAACGAGTGCTCAAAAGATTTCTGGATCAATTTGCACGGATGCTTAAATAAGTCTTTTTTTCTCCTTAAGTATCAGCTTTGTCGATATTTCAAGTAAGCAGACGTTCATTATGGCATTTTTCAAGATTTTAATTTGATAATATTCATGTCAATATTTTAAACATTGAATTATAATATTTATAAAATAATCATTCAAACAGAAAATAATTGTTTTACCTAATACTATTTAATTTGCAAATTGAAAAATCTCTTGATCATAATTATCTGAATATCTGATCATGATATGAATAAATATATGTCTATATATGACTTGAACGTTAATTCATTACATTAATTGAATACATTATTATATAATCATAAAATACTTATACAATTGTATTTTTAATGCAGATGACTAATTTAATGGAAACTATTGATTTTGCATATGTAGGATGTATATGTTTTTTATATGATACTTATTAAGTAACACTGCTTTTAGATTTCGCATTTTATATTAAAGTTTACATTTGATGGCTGAAGAAATATTATGCTGGTGCCTTCTTACTGCTATACCTGGGACTATCGAAATCTACGAGAGAAGTTCCATGATGCCACGAGACACTGTTTGGTGGTATGGATTGTACATTTACCAGGCAGGTTAAACTTATGGTGCTGCCTTTTTTTACGTATAAGTCTTCTGGCTCTTTAATTTTTGCCTGAGCCGCTGAAACAGAATTAATAGAACAACTATTTATAGTGCGCTCTTCAGGTTCTCTTTGGTTTATACTATTCTCAACATATACTGATATCAAATACATTAAATTTTTCAGCATTCGAAATCATCAGAAATGATTAACAAAAATATATATATTTCGAATAAATGACTTTTCAGTATGCCTGCAAATTAATTCAATCAGATGAGAAATTTGATCCCATAATAAATAACACCATTATGGAAAAAGTTAAACACTTTCATTAAATCCATATAAATATTACTTCTACTTATATCATATCAATGATAATAATTATAATATTCGATGTATTTCATTTAAAATTTAACACGTAAAAATTTAGAATTCCTTATGTTTTGTGACAATAAATCCTGCGTTAATATATATATATATATATATATATATATATATATATACTTAATAGACTCTGTATTGTATGTATAATTAAAGATAAAGGGCGTATATTAGGGGGGAACTTGCATTTGCATGATTCTAACCTGAGTTGAACGTCCGATGAATAGCAGTTGGTGTGGTAGCAGGGACAGGGGCACTTTCTGGAATGGGTGGACAAAACAATTTGTCAAATTAATTTAATTCTTACCAAATCGTGCTATTAATATTTTCCAAAAATCTTTAATTCTATATAGATATTTTATTATATTTCTAATCTTCAATTATAGAAAAATATGTTTCGTATATTATTAAAATATAATTAATATAAGTATAATACAAATTTAAATATGAAAATATATTAAAAAGTTTATGAAAATAAATTTGTAATTATAATATATATAATAATAATAATTATAATAATATTGACTATTTACACAAAACTAATTTTAATAAAAAGTAACTATTTATAATTATTTTTACAATAGAATTTTCATCATTAAATGTAATATATTACATTATTAAAGGTTAATGTTTTCCTAACATTTTGAATTATATTACATACATTACGTATACATTATTTTCAAGTTTCATATATTTATATTGAGTATTTATTAAAATACAAAGTAATTATCAAATAATTATGAAAAATAGAAAACTGAAGTTACTAATAAAGCATATTAAACATTTGTTGTTAATTCAGAATTTACTATAACGTTACATATTACATAACTTATATTTAATCTAATACTTTTATTTTAAGAATATGTTTAAGTAATTCTTACGTAAGGAAATTATTTAACACCATGATGATCAGAAAGTTATAATTTATTAATTATATTTTTTATTTGTATTATATAAAGAAGTAATTATAAAGCTAAGCTTTAAGTAATAGATGTAATAGATGATTATTAAAAATGATTATTCACTTTTTTATTTGATTTAAATTATAAATTATCAATGTATAATTTTTATAATAACTTTATAGTTTTTATATTAAAATTCAAAGGTCGTAAATAAATAGTCAATTTTATATTTTATCTATGCGTAAAGCTATAGATTTATTATTATACGTATTTTGCAGAAGATACATAATTTTAGTAGCTACTTAATATAATTTGTTAAAGATATTATATTACAGTTAAAATAAAATTTATATTGCTTAAAAACTTTGTTTGAATATCTTTATATGAATTTTTACTAAATTAAAAAATTAAGAAACAATTTCGAATATGTATCACAATGAAAAGATTTTTATTATGTTATTCATATTAGCACCCCACCAATAGTAAGAAATTAAAAAAATTATTAGAATTTATATAGAACAATATTTCAGAATCATTGATTTGTAATTAAATTAATAATAACCAATAGAACAGATAATATTTTTTGATTATTAAAATTTTTTAAAGAAATTATTATGAAAAAACTAGTGTAATTTTTAAAAGAAACTGATAGTATACTTGTAATATAAAATATAGTCATACATTATATAATCAACGTTTAGACCTAAATTATGTAGATTAAATATGAAAATTTTCAATCATTATTCATATATATTTGTACATATTATCTAAGATTTATAATTAGTAGGTCACATTAAAAATTTTTATAAACCACTGGAAGCTGTGCTTAGAAAACGTCTGACATAAATTATTTACTTAATAATGAAAAATAAGTAGGGTCTAGTATGCAAATTGTTTATATTATATTATTATCTTATGCGAATGAATATAACACTGTTGAAAAAAAATTGATTATATTACAATATTCGATATTAAATTTATAAAATACTTTAAATGATATAAATTTCTATAATAATATACAACTTAAATGTGTTTTTGTGAAAAGTTTATTGTGTCAATTATTATCAACGATCTATGCGCTCATAGAATACTTTTATATATTATATATTAAATTTTATATATACTTTATATATTTGTATTTGATATTATAAATGACGTATAATATTATATTTTAATATAATATTTTAAATTCAAATTCTAATAAATAAAAATATGAGAATTGCATGATAAAGTAAATAATTATTCAAGATTGGATAACATTTTCAAATTCAAAATAAGTGTAACTCTTTTCTTTTTAATTTTCAGAAGTACACATGCTTAATATATTTAATAAAAATACGATATGATCACTACCTTCATTATGTTATTAATATGGTATACTTTTAAGTTAATAATAGTTAATTATTATTAATTTTTTATTTTACCGATTGTAATGACTGTTCAAACAACTTTAATATTGCATAATAAAACATGGAATTGATTCATTATGCAAAATACAAAATAATAAGATGTAAAATATTAGCCTTGATTGAATTTAAGATATTAAATAAAATGTATACTTATTGATTAGCAAAAGAGATTTATAAGAAAAATAAAAATTGCTTGCAGATTTACCTTCCACTCTCAATATGAATGCTAGATTAAGTTTAGGCTCAGTATTAATTTGACATTCGTAAATTCCAGCATCACGTTGCTGAACATACGCAATTTTAAGTTTCCATTCATTCGAAGTTGCTGGATGTAATACCGAGAATCTCGCATCCCCGGTGTATGTATATATTGAAGACGTCAATATATGCAGATCGCGCTTTCGCATCCATGATATCTATAACATTAAAACTCGCTGTGAAAAAAATGTTTTCCATACGCTTTCTTGCATATAAAAATAGAAATGTCGACAATAATTTTACGGTGCTCGTATTATCTTTAATTAATGAATATCAATCATATCATAGAATAAATATTTATTATATTAAGAAACTTGTATTCGCTTCATTTTTGTTTGTTTGTTTGTTTTTTTAAATAATAGAATATCATCATTACAATCAGCAATAAAAATGTTAAAATAAATTGAAAATAGTTCCGAGAATTCAAGGATCTAAGGAATAATAAAGTTTACTCAAACTCAAATCCAATTTGAGTAAAATTACGATAAAAATAAAAAATCAGTTTATTTCACATGGCAATTGTATATATCAATTTTTTGCGAAATAAAAAAAAACTCGCAATGATTTAAGTCATATCCAGCGGTTTTGTTTATTTTCAGAAATGTTCATGGCAGGTTTTCGCTTTGATTTGCGGAAAATGAAGAAAAAATATTGCCTCATCGGTACATACATTGTTGCTCCATAGTCTTCTGTACAATTCCCGGTAATAAATAACGCTCGAGCTCGTAAATCTATCTCTTAGCGAAAAAGTTCCTTTTCATTCTAATTGTCAGCTATGTACGTAAAGTAAGTAGTAGACTAGTGATTTTAACGTTTTATCGATCTGATTTAAAGACTATTTGATATTTTTGGCTAATCGACGATTAAGAAAAACTGTATTCTAGAGAATAGGAACATTAAGAATAAAAAGTTAGAGCAATTCATGAATTGCGGACAGAGGAAAGTCGGCAACGAGCCAGTATGGACTCGAAACTGTGAATCGATATATAAATCTATACCAAATTAGTGACGATAAAGGTAGCGACTTAATTCTTCCATTTTTTGCTTTATACTTTCAAATTCATTGGAATTGTTTTAAGATGACGCTTGATATAAGAACAAATTTAAACGTTTGTCGAGAGTGTACTTGTTTTTTTTTATTACAATTCTAGAACATATTGAGCTATAGTTTCCGGGAATGAGCTCGTATAAAGTTGAAAAAGGAGACTATTGTTATGGTTGATATCGGGATACAGTCCGGCTACGAATAATTTCACTTATAATTCTGAATGCAAAAACGTAATGCATTCATCTAATTTGATACAAAAATTTGTGGTAATATTTTTTCCATTGGTGCATATATAAGTTACTACACCCAAGCGAGCTTTTGGATCTCTTTAATACAAATATCGTAGTATTACTTTTTTTCCGATGAAAACTCCTGAGAATAATTCTATATAGTACAGTATGCCATTTTTAAATATAAGTCTGATATTTTTGTTCACTTTTTCTATTGAAAAACAACTATTAAATACGGCCGATGATTAAAAATTAATACAATTTTTTTTCATTGATTTGTCCTAACTTTATTAATGTTTAGACGAATCATGATTCATCTTCCATACTATATACACAAATATATAATTCTCAAATAGTCAATGATCAATTTCAAAATTTATTTCATAATAAATTAAGAGATTATATTAATTCATAATTTTAACAAAATATTTAACAAAAAATTCAACCAATACTACTAGTAAACAACTATTAATATTTAAAAAATATATAAATAACCGTAACAACTATGTACTATATAGCGAAGATAGAAGATAGACCGTGAAGAAAAACACAGTCGACTTTTAATTCGAAATTATCTTAGAAAATTTCGTTCACATCTTTATCTTTGAGCAAGCTGTTCGTATAAAAATTTGTTGTACATTCAATTTAATAACTTGTATTCTCATTTCTTAATGATGATATTCGGACATCAAAGCGAAGGGAAGGAGACAAGGGTGATATTCAACGTTCATGGGCTCTACGAGAATTCCGTAGTTCTAAGCATCTAAGCTCGTAGGCGACGATTGCGCTTCCGACTCGCTTTACTGGATTTTAGATTAAAGGAACTTTCTTGTATTACTTTCCAAATATTCTGGCCATTTGATTTGAGCCATTTATTTGATAAATCTAATCTTTTTAAAAATACCTCCACATGCAAGTTTCACTTAATCTCAACTTTATATTATATTTAAATTACCATATTATGTTCGTATTTATGTTAGATTTGTGAAATTAATTCGAAAACTACTACTACACTTAATTTGTAATAAAATTAGTACGTCAAAATGTAACGATAATTAATATGATCATTATTATAACAGTTTCTCAATTCGACAAAGAAAAACCATTAACAGCTTATACATATAACCAATCTCTAGTCTCAAATATTATCTGATATGTTTTTTTTTTTTTTTTGATACGTATTATATTTTAAATTAATGTTTAAAATACACCGAAACAAAAAAATAAAAGAAATAATCCAAAAACGTCATATTTAGGAAACGGTAATGAAAATACACTGTAAGAAGTAATTGTTTTCAGTTGGTACCAGTCACGATAAATAAATTCATAATTTAATTAAACTACGTTTAAATGGAGTTGTAGCATAATGCACTTATACGCATTACATTCCTAATCTAGCATTACATCAATTTTACAGAATTGTAACTCGTATTAGGTTAGTAACACAGAAGTTTTTGTCTAATTTATATAAATTTTCAATGTTATTTCCTATTATTAACTGAAATTTAATAAGCTTTATTGTAGGCAAGTGAATAAAAATTATATAATACAAACTAAAAGAATATATCAATAAGATAAATTTGGCATAAAGTTATATACTTCCACGTATCTTATTTACTAAATTTATATAACTTAATCGTTTTTTTTTTTGCATTCACTGAAGAAAATCAAAATATAAAAAAAGCTTTTTAATTACTTTTTAGTTATTTTAAAATATACATTTTTAATCTTTGAATATTTTAAAACGAGATTAATTTTTATTATAATACAATGTTTAAAAATGGCTATTTTATTTGGGTACATTATTTCAGTTTTCAGGGTAATTTATTTCTATAATTGAAATTTAATAGTGAAGTTCATCGAATCGAATATTTATTTAAAAATGAATATGACTAAATGCTAAAGTGCTGGATAAATTTTATCCGTTAAATAATTAAGAGCTAAATTTATATGGTTCTTTATATTAACTTTATATTATTATGACAATTTCATAGGAATTATATATATTAATATATTAGATAAGTACAAATTATTTACTTTTATATATTTAATATCTCTTCTAGTTTTAACTTCCATAGAATTTTATTCTATTACAAACAAATGTACTTCGAAGTATAAGTTTCAAAACTTAATATTTTAATTTAACGAATTCAAGAGTATAAATCTAAAGTAAAATATTGAATCAAATGTAATTTTAAAAGTAAATAATAAATGACAATTAATTGGTTTATGCATATCTGTTTGAATAAAAGTCCTGCTAATATACATAATATGTAAATATACATTTCATTATAATTTATTAAAAACTTTAATTTACTTGATTCAATCGTAATTTCAATTTACGATAATTGTTACATATTTGAGCAATTTAAAATATTTTATTAAAATGCAATCATATTTATTATTTTTAAGAAAATATTTATTGATTATCATGATTCTGTCAACTTATTTACAATTATTATAAGGTCATAATTAAACTATTCATATAAGAATATGAAGAGTACCTTAAATTCCTTTGTTTTTTATTATAAAATTTTTTTTATATTAAAAAGATATATAATATTTGTGAATGAAATGGATAAGAGTTAAAAAAACAATTGAATCGTCAATACTACTTTTAATTGAAAATATTGTTTTTATATTTCAAATTTTTTGTAGTCAATGTCTTCTAATTCTTTTTTTAATTAGTTGACTATATATGTGAGTAAGAGTGACTAAATAGCTTCCTCATGTTATTAGATGTTATTGTATAATCATATAAGTATTATAGAAGCATCGCGGAAAAGAAACGATAAACATATAAAATTTTACTTTTGTGAGTTGTATTTCAATCGATTCAAATAATGCTCAATATAAATAATTAAAAAAATATATATTATTTTATGAAACAATTAAAAAAATTTTAATCGCATAGTCAATTAATAATTAATATCGCTTTGTTTTTATATTGATGAAGTCATTTATATTTAAGTTAGCGGAAAATTGCAATACTAAGCAATAACATAATGATTACTTGAACGGAAAGTCTCAAACGAATTGCATAAATTGTGAGATCATCAAAAATTAAGTAAGCTTTTATAAGATCAAATTATAGACTATTACTGCATTACCGTCCGATCGCCTGGATTTTTAACGTGACAGCTTAACTCAGCAGTTTGACCTACGATAGTTGTGACATTGCGAGGTGATACATCATCAAAGTAAGGCTTATCCCACGTTCTCGTTGGCTTGCTGCTACTTATGACAACACTTGCTAAACTCGATTCACCTGAAACAATCAATGAACATTTTCACCTACATAATATTCATGCTTTTAGCAAAATATTATGTAAGAATGATGATGTGCGAGAGAGCCTTTTATCGATTAAGAAGACCTTTACTTAAATTGAAATGAAACATCAAGCAACAAACTATTCATATTTATATATAATTTTATTAAAATTAATTTATTTATTCTTGTTAATTTTCAAGTGAATGCGTCGCAATATGTTTAAAGAATATTTTTAACAAAAATTGTCTTTATTTTCTCTTTCATACATTTTGTTGTATTTCTTAAAAATGAAGGCACAGCAAGAGTCATTTTCTGTATATATTATAAGCTACATATGTATTTTATGAAGTAAATAATTTTTTTTTCACACTTTAACCAATGGATAATTGATAAAATTTTAAATAATTTCGATGTTAAACAATTGTATTTATAAAAATTAGTAAAAAAAATGTCAATGTTCATTGTAAAACAAAAATTAATTTAAAAATATATGAAATATAATAAGATTTATTAGTAAATCATTAAAAATTCCATAAAAATGTGTTTATCACGTATACATACGACTGTAGCATAAAAATACTCTAATATTTATGAATAATTATTTACTGATTATTTAAATTAATAAACAATTTATTTCCTGTGATAATAAGTTTTATATGCAATTGTACATTGTAATATTATTTTATAAAGTTTAATTTATCTATTAATCAGAGGATAAACAATGAGATAAAATAAACTGTGTTAGCATTTTTATAAACTGAAAAACGTCTACGTTCACTTATTTAGAATACTCATGAGTATGTAGTGCAATTAATATGTCTAAGATTATATTATTCCAGCAGTGAAATACGTTGAAGATTAAAAAAGTCAGCGGCCAGTTTCATACTCACATATTAAATTCATATATTGGGTAGATTAGAGGGAAAACATCGAGTATTTTCGCAGATTCTTTCAATAATTGCTTATTTAAAACAATTACATATAAACAAGGAAAAATAATTAATGGTTGTCAAAACAAAGATATAATAATGAATAGTAACGAGATTCTTTGAGCTTTTTTAAACTAAATTATACAGAAGGAAAGGGAAAAAATAGAGCAATAGACTTCGGGAAGTTTAGAAAACGGGTAAGCCACTGGAATATATGAAGATGAAGAGAATGTGAGAGGAAGCATCCTAATGAAATTAAACAGAGACAGGTATTAGCTGTTGACTCGCTTTTCTTTCTTAATTGCCCAAGCAATTGCAGAGATCTAAATCCATGGGTATTGTCTTGATCTTCTCCGTGTTTCTGTTTTATATTGCCCAAGTCGATCCCAAATCTTTGTTAATGGAAGCAATACAACTTTGATCATTCCTCAGATAAGAAACAGCGAATAATCTAGACCAACGAATCATCTAGAATTTAATTGCTAATTAAACTTGTTTATGTTCCGTAAAAATAATCGTATCCTAATAAGATGATATTCTTTTTGAATTTTTGAAAGCCACAGCATGTAGTAATTTGCTTGCATTGTCTTAACTATGCGTAACTTAGAGAATAATTGCACCTTGAGACCAAGTTAATGCTACGGCATGTAATAAGCAAACTTTCGTGAGTGTTTATATAGTTTCGAGATTTAAAAAGGAATTTTCGTCGCAACCACAAGCCTCCAAATCGATCGCTATGAGAGAAGGCCCTGCGCTACGAACGCAATTTCGATAATCCGATAAAGTTCGCAACACCGCGACCTAATCGATACTCCGGCTTCCGAATTATGCAAGGCATGCACACGTGGCTCGTTATCTGAAGTATACACGTATAGGGAGGATTGAAAGATATCCCGTATACTCTGGTGCTTGCCATTGCATCGATAGATCAAAATTGAGAAGTTGGCCTTTGCATACCGATACGATGAATTTGAACTTCGTCGACGGTACCAAGGGATCTTACAGAGCTGTTTTCATTAATCCTCCATCTCAAAAATATTGTGCACCGATACTTGCAATCTTTGATTTTTCATATCCCGATTTTATAAATTTACAGATTTTCCTTTTCATTTCTACATATAGATTTTCCTTTTCATATCTATGTCATTTAAATTATCTATTTGCAACTGTAACCAGATTATTTAAAATTTCATTTTATCCGATCCGTGCTGTAACTATATTATTTTCAATTAATCTTAACAATGTACTGATACAGATTATCTTATGAATTATTATTTGTGATAATTATTATATGATAATTATTTACTTTGACTCCGTAAATTAAATTTATTTTTCATTATTATTTTCCATCTCATTTTTATTTCATTCAAAACAAATATTGATTAAAAAAAATTTTATTTGATGGTCGAATATTTAATTATTTACAAGTTTTTTTTTCTTTCTTTAGTATCGCTCCTTTGCAAATAAAAAGACATGCAAATAAATACAGACTCAAGTCAATTTAACAAAACTATTTATTTTAATAATTCATCATCAAAATTTAAATACAAATTAATTTGATAACGTTTAAAGTTTAAAGTAGCTGCATAGTTTAAAATATTTTTTTGTTCAATTCTATTCGATATCAGAAATATCGATGAAATGTACAGGTCTGTCAAAAATAATAGAGAAGATTACAAGTAAAGTACAAAATAAAAAGTAAATATAATTTAAATTTGCTATATAATATATACAATTCATATGTTACATAAAAGATTATAATTTTGCATTATTATTTGCGAATCAAAACAAAATCAAACAAATAATTTAAAAAGAAATCTTTGAAAAAACGATTTTTTAAACCATTATTCGTGATACTTTTATATTTGAAATAATAATTAAAATAATAGAAAAAAATGTAACTTAAAAGAATAAAGTAAAGTAGCAGCAGATGACGATACTAAATGTAATGTTCCTAATGATACTATATACTATTTCTCGATATTACCGAATAATTTAAATAAAATGTCATAGTAGCAGTGTTAAAAATATTTACAGAATATTATTTAAAATCGAATGAATATAGAGTGAGCTAATAGAATAGATAAAAAAAGGATGATAAAGTGTTTAATACATCTAGAGAATAATTGTCTGCAATTAGAGTTTTTGCTGAAAAAGGAAACCCGCTTTTCAACGGTTTAAACTTCTCACAGATATTTCCATTATATTTAGATAAAGAAATTTAAGATTATGAAATAGAATCGAACTTACTAATACTGCGTTTTATATACCATAGAATGTCTTTAAAAAGTGCGCGATTGTTTAAAGGACGACAACTCACTCAAGTCCATCATATTTACAATTTTCTGCTATTGCGTCTTTTAACATGAAATAATGCATTATTACGTAATACATTTTTATGTCGAACTATTAATCAGTGATTAATAATATTTGATCCAAGAGTTTATTCAGTGATATTGAATTGAAATCGATTCCATCTTATTAAACGTACTCGTAATATTATATAATTATTTTAATTTTGAAACAAAAATACTTAAATGAATGCAAATGTTTTGTCGAATTTGTATGATTATTATTTCTTTTTCTATTATTAAAAGCATTTTAATATTAAACTAACTAAATTATAGTTAAATAATACAAATATCTATGAGCAAGGAGAAAACATCATCGATAAAACATCATAATGAGTAAACCGGTAATGCAAAAAAGTATGATAATTTATCATTCGTCCATATGCTTTAGTATGAATTAATTGTTACAACTCATGACATATATAGTTTAAACAATAATATCTAAAACCTTGATACAAAAATATGTATTTCTGAAATTTTGCATTATATCGTTAATTTAATGCTACTTAACTGATATCTCGCTCTACGTCATACAACAAAACTGTATACACACACGCACTATTAAACTACCTTTTTATAAATCTAATAATTGAATAAAATACTTCATGCCATTGAACTATTTTTTATAACATTATATTGCTTTCACAAAAGAAAAGCAAGTCAATTTGTTTATGATTAATGAATGTTTAATTTTTCTCTATTAAACGAATACAAATTAAAAGTTTGTTATTTAAAAAAGATACATCGTAAAAACAATATGAACACAATTAAAAAAACAAGGTAAATAACTAATAATTTAATAACATTAGTTACATGTAATTAAAATACAATTTTAATTGAGATTTGGAACTTTTAATCGACGGTTCTTGAGATTTCAAAAATTCAAAATTTCAAAAATTCAAAAATTTAATATGCATAACATTCTTCTATGTAGATTACACAAAGTCGTCAAGAAATTATCAGATAAATATTTTAAATATATTGATGCAATTAATTCAAATCTATAAATTTAGATCATATATGAAATTTAAAAAACTTCAATAACACACTTTTCTTTTACCAGTTTCAGTTTTAAATAATAAACTGATACGGTAGTATTTGACGTGACTAAAAAACTGCTTAATATTTCTTGATGAATTTCTTTCAGTTTAGTGCAGTTTTAAAGTAAAATTTTATTTTGGCAACTTCTCAAGACAAAACTAAAAAATATTTATTTACTTAAAAATTAGAAAATTCTAATTATAATATAATCATTTATATAACATATGGATTATTTTAATGAAATGCATTGTCAATAATTATTCCACGACTTTGTGATCGGTACAAATTTCCAACTCTAATGTTACAAAGATTCGCTGTAGAACGCACGCTTTGATCTCCTTCATTTACCGTCTCGACGTCCATTGCGTCAGGCGATGCAATGTAGCGATCTCGTGCCTATCCGATATACCAACACTAGGCCATCAGTAATACCGTATTCTATTCACATTACTTTACCATGTTTGTAAATATGTAGATACTGCCTAAGTTAAGGCACAGCGTTTTAGTTATTCTTGTTTTAATATATACAACTATCTAAAGTAATTGAATAATAATTCATTTTCTCACCACTTTGTTAAGCAACTTTTAACAAAAATATTAGTAAAAGATTGTTACGCGTACAAATATATTTAATATATTTAATATAAAATTTTATGGGACATATCGAGACTGTGTAATTAGGAAAGAAAAGTTAAGTAAATTCGAATTGAAAACCTAACAATTTTGGGAAAAGAAAGATCTTAATTCTGAATTATGAATAATACTGTATAATACTATATTGTATTATTATTGCCAGTATAAATAAAAATTTTATCATGAATTCTGTTCATAATAAAATTCAGCTGCCTCTTATCAATTCATTGTAAGTATTATAATTATTTAGATCTTATTTAGATGTATTAGCAATAGAACATCGATAAATAGAAGATATGCGAATAATTTTCGACATTTGGTCCAATACATCAATAGAATATTGTATATAAAAACATTATTATTTACATGCAAAAACTAAATTAAAAATTTGTTTCTAGTTTCTTAATTACCGTTATGTTCTCTTATATTCATCTACAAAACGATTTAACGATCAATCGATTGATCCCACTTATTTAATGTTTTGTATACAGTTTATGTCTTAAAAAAATAAATCATACAATTAAAAAAAAAATTTTATATACATAACATATTAATGGCGTTGTTCTATCTACCATACCTGCGATACTATAATTCGTTTCAAAATATTTTTTAATACCATTTTCAAATGATTGGAATATAATTTTATTGCAACATAAATTACCTGTTAAGTTAAACTAAGCAACTTTTTAATCAAGTGAAGTATAAAAAATATTTTATTATTAAATTATTTGGTCCCATTTTTATAAGATTTTAAAACATTATTTAAAATTTTAGATTTATTAATATAATTATCATTATAAATTGTAATGTGATTTTTATTAAACAAATATAGTTCCTTAAGATACAAATATAAATATCTTTATTTAACATTCTTATTCATTTAATACTTGTTTTACTGTCAGTTCTATATTTTAAAGTACCTTTTGCGCCAAAAATTTAATGATTATAGCCCATCGATTATTATGCTCAATCAATTATGTATCAGAATAATTACAATAATATTTATTAGTAAGTTTTTTTTGTTCCTTTATATAGAAATATTTCATAAATGTAAAGTTTAGAAGGTAAATTTTTATAAAAAATATAAATTATTCCTATAACATTAATTGAAAGAAGGAATGCAACTGAAAAACATTGGTTAATGAATTAAAACAATTTAATTACAATGTACAAGCTTTTATAAATTAACCTTCTATTTTTAAATAATTATAAATATTGATGTAAAGCAAATTATAATTGCATTATTAATGATAATGCAAATTTTTCTTCACACAAATAATGAAATTCGTCATACAAAAATATTTTTGTAAATTTAGAATTGAAGAAATTAAGACAAATTAACAATTTAGATAATTTGAAAAAATATTTATAATATCACGAAGTAGATAGTCTGTAAATTTTTTTAATAGAAAGATTATTTTTGATATTATAAAATTAAAAATAATATAATGAAAAAGATAGAAAAAATACTTTAATCATAAATTTTAGATATATAATATTCTAACTATTAAATCTATTGAAGAAATAAGCTGCAGAAGCTTAAAATTCAATTATGGTGTTGTATTTATCGAAGATTGAAAAATTTGATGAATTATACCTTTAGGATTTTATAAACTTGAAATATAAAGTATAATATAAAATATATCGAATATAAAGTGTAATATTAATAGAAAATTATAAATATATTTTAAATTATTGAATGTAGTCCATAATTTTTTAATAGTTTTTATAATATGGGTGAAATTTAATTAAAAATATACATGTACACTTTTTAAATATTCATTATAGTATTAGCATGATCGTAAATATATAATATAGTAAATATATAACATATATTTAATATTTAATAAAAAGAATACATTGATAATGGACATTTTTAATATATATATATATATATATATATATATATATATATATATAAACTTTCATTTCAATTATTAATATTAAAATATATTTGATCAAAAACACTGATATAATAGATTATTATAATAGATTGAGAAATTTATATTTGCAAATTGATGAAATAATATAAATAAATGTATTTATATTAAAAATCTTAGTTTTGTCTTCTAACAGAAATTTCAAAAATTAAATTTATAATAATGATAGAAAACATCTATATGGGAACGTGATTTTTTCTTTCTTATTTTTTAATTATTATAATTATTATATTATTATATCTTAATAATGTTTGTTAAAAACTAGTAAAGTAAATTATAAATTATATTGAGCTAGTAATTATTTAACCAAATTATACATTGTTACATTCTTGTTAGTTAATTATTTTTATTTAAAATTAAATTTATCGAATATTTTACATTTGGCTACCTATATTTATTTAAACGATTGTTTAAAAATTTACAAATTGTATTTATTTACAGTAAATTTATTATATACGGACTCCAGTCAAATATAACCAGTTTTTAAGTCTGGAATTTTGAAATGTAAAATTCCCCCATTTTTCAAGTGTTTCACTGTTGAATAATTATATCATGTAGTATATATTATATTTTTTCTCTTTCATTCATTATAATGAATTCAATTCAGAATATATATTTAATGTGCAAGAAATAATTTAACAATAATTCTTATTACAAAAAAACTTCTATGCTTTTTTTATTGTTTAACATCTATTGTTCTATACTCTTCATTTATATTTTCAATTATAGAATAGAGAAAAAATGTTTCTAGTATAGTATTACTTAGTATTCATTCAAATACATTTGAAAAAATATCATATAGACAATTTAATAATTATTATTTTAATAAATAATTTTTTTTTAAATGCTTACCTTTCATATACATTTTTCATTATTTTCAAGTACTGTCACCATTTTCTTCAAAACAAAACTGGACAGATACTGCATTTTTTAAATAACCAATAAAATAAATAAAATGTTAATAAAAATTTTCTATTATTATTATAGCTTATTATATATAATGTCAACTTTTTAATATTATTAAAAATTAGAAGTGGAATTAATCATCATTAAGGCTACACAACTGGATTAATATTTATTATTTTATTTTTAATATTATTGTCAAACATATTTTTAATGACAATGATTTGCGTTTATCATTAATAAAAAGGAAAAAATAAATATAGAGTATTATTTTATTAAATTTCATTAGTGCAATATTTTTGATTGTTAAGAAAATCTAACTATTGAATAAGTTGAAATTTATTTCCGACAAACGCATAATAGTAAAGAAAATACAAAGATGACAAAGCAGACCGGGCATTAATATTGCATAATAGTCAAATGACTATTCCTTTATGCTGTAATAATATAGATGGCGTCCGAAGATATAAAACTTGCATACTTCTACTTATTTTTCATTCATTATACTTACATTCATTTCACGATCATATAAACAAGTGCGCGATCGTATTATAAGCAGTTTAGTAAGTGAGTGGTACATGCAGATAATTATTCGTAAATTAAAATTTTAAAAAGTAAATGAACACATTATAATTAAAGTGATTTTATCTGTAGAAATATCTATAACTTTATGACAAAAAATGTTACAATTATTCCATTCAATGCGTCTTCAAACGCATTATTACAATTTTAGTGTTATTAAATATTATACTTAAATATTATTAAATGTACGACAAATCTTAAACATTTTTCTATACTGCAAAAAAAAATATGTATACATATATATATATATATATATATATATATATATTTATATTTATATATTTATATTTTTTTATATTTTAAATATATACATTGAATTGCAAGCTAAGACAGAACATAGTAAATTTAACTCGTCTTATCAGTTAATGATCTTGTTTTGGTGCACATAATTCTTATATTTTACAGAAATGGATTCCGATAAACTAGAGATGATAAAAAAGTTGATAGATATTAAATTGATACAAAAAGTTATGCAAGAATCAGAAAATGATTATAGTATAGAGGTCAATGATATTGTATTTATTTTTGCAACCAATAAAGGTGATAATTATGCGAGTGAAATGTTTCGTGCATCTATTGAATATACTCGATCTAACGGTATAAAAAAAGAAAAGAAATCTCTAATTATAAAGGCCGAGCCATTATCCGAAGGATTACAAAAAGATTTGGTAAGATTTTTGTGTAATTTAAGAACTTAATTTAATACCCTCAAACTTCCCTGATTTTAATAATTAATAATTAAATGAATTCATTTTATTTAAGTATCGTTAGTATAGAATTATGATAAGTAGCGTTATATTCAAAATGAATTCATCATTATATTAAATAATTTTTAACTTGATTCCTAACTAATCTACTCGATTGTAAAAATAATTATAGAAATGAAGAAAAAACAAGAGATAATAAATGAAAATGAAAGCAAAGTTCAATTTTATATAGATAATATCGTGTATTTTTATTATTGAAGTACTATTATTATATTGTAAAATAAAATGACATTCGGTCTTGATGCCGATCAGAATTGTGATTAATGCAGTTGAATGAAATAAATCATTGAGATATTAGTTACCATTCATCTTTCAGTAATACGTTAAACTTGTTTCAGATTACAAAATCAGAACTTTTTACAACAGAAATGAATATGATAATGAACACTTTGGTAAAGATGAATGAACTTGTAAAACCTGAAGCTTGTTTCAGTGGCCGAGGTTTGTACACGCAAATTAAACCTTCTTTGCTCATTATGGAGGACTTAGCGCCTCTAGGTTTCCGCATGGCCGATCGTTTAAACGGTCTTGACGATGACCATAGCTTATTGGCTATTCGCAGTTTGGCAAGATTTCACGCAAGCTCTGTTGCGCTTTGTGAAAAGGTATGATCTTAAATTACGGTATTTTTTTGGTTAATGAACGAACCCAAGTATATTAAAATTAAAGCTCTCATACGCACGCACTCTAGCAGTTACTAATTCTTGTTTATTATTCCTAAATATACAATTAATTTTATGTAATGTATCTAAAATGTACTTTGTTTTCCTACTCCTTCTCAAAAAAACCTAAGATACTTTAAATATTAAACGATATCATTATTTTCATACTATTACTATTCTATATTGTTTCTCTATTATTATTTGTAATACATTTATTATTATATATATTTTTAAATTATTTTATGTTATAATAATAGAATTTGTATACTGGTTTTGTTATTCATTTTTAAGTCTTTTTCAAATACAAGTGTCTTGTTTAAAGAAGATTTTTGTTTAACAATGTACAAAGATTTCCTTGAATAAATTATATTCCAAGACTATAATATAGTAAATGACTTTTATTAATAATTGAAAAATAATTCAAAATATTTTTAAAAAATATTAAATTTCATAATCAATTTTTCCAAATATAATCGAATAAATAGTCCCTAAAATATTAACTGCGACTAGAAGAAAAATTTAATAAAACGTGTTTAATTATTAATAAGACAAATATAAATTATTATCTATATTTTTTATACATTGAATTATATATTTATATTTTTTATTTATAAATTTTTATAAACAATATTACACTTTTGATCTATAAATTTCTTATAAATAATATTATATTGATTAAATTTATAATAAATACAATTATAAACACATAAAATAATTACGTTCCCTAAGTTTTCAAATTAAATTTCAATATGATAAAATTAGATAGAATATTTTAAATTAAACCTAAAGATAAATTACCTTTGTAAATTAAAAAAATTATATTAGAATTTTGTGTTTAAAAAAACTGTCTACGTTAGTAAACAATGTAGTGAATTGCTAAAGTAATTTGCAATGGATGTAATAAAATGTGAGTATTTTATTAAAGTTAACAACAAGATCGGAAATTATTGTATATTGAATGTAAATTTTAATATAAAATTAATATGTAATGACATCGAAAGTTTCCATGCAAGTATCATTTTTATTTTAAGATTATTCATAGTAGCGAGTGCTAATAAACTAAATAAAATATTTAATTTAAATATGTTACTTATTCATTAATAGAAGCCTTCACAAAAAATGGAAGAAAAAATACGACCTTTATATATAATGATAATAAGATATTAAATTTTTTTCTACTTATATAACTATCTCTATAATAATGTATTTCTTGAAATTATATTGCAGTGGTATATATTTTTTAAAAACGAATAATTAAAAAGAAAATTTAATAGAATAATACCTAGGCTATTCTTATTTTCATGTTTATAAAAGTTTTTATTTTCATTATAAAGATATTAAAAACAAATCTTAAAAAAAACAAAATTAAGTTTTTTTTATAACTATAAATGGAAGTATAGCCGACAATACATTTATAGTATATATGGTATCTATTACGATATCATTAAGAAATACAATTTTTTTAGTTAATAAAAGATTGTTATAAAATATTTTACTAAATTTCAGTTTAAAAATATATTTAATTTGTATAAAAATATTGTTTGTAATTATAGTTTATTTCGTACATTTATGTATTAATCCGTTTTATTGAAATAATTATATGCACTTTGCATAATTTTTATGTAAGGCGTATTTTATTTTATTTTAAGGTGTATAAATTGATATTCAAAATTATTATACATAAATGTATTTTCCAAATGACAGTCATATAATTAACTGCAGACATAAGATTTATGTTGTTATAATTACAGTATTCGGGTCAATCTCATAAATATTAATTTGACTAAAAAACATTTGTTCTATAAAAATAGTTTTTCTTAAATAATAAAAAAGTTTCTTTCTTAAATAATTAAAAAATTACTCATTTCAGTTATTTAAATCCAAAAAAATTTCGCTTTCTAATATAATCCCATTGTGTAGCTGTAAATTATATATAACTTACATTATATTTTCCTAATATAGATTAAACCAAATTTTTTTTTAAATTATATAAATTGAATATACCAATTTTTCAAACAATAAAATTTTATGAAAATTACTTTTTTGCAGAAATATTGTCACGAAATATTTATAAATAAAAATCCTAACAGTATTATTATAATTTAAAAATTGGTTTTACACAAATGATATACCATATTAAAACTATTTTTATTTTGAGAGAATAATAGTATTTGAAATAATTTTCAAATATCTTCACTATACTCAAACTTTTAAACTAATTGAGACACCAAAATACTATTTATTATATTCTATATAGTTTTAATTTTTGCGTACATATTATTTACATATAAATGCAGTACATTCTTGCACTTGCACTTGCATTTGGGTATAGTATCTACATCATTTTTTTATTTAGGACCCATCAGTAAAACAGTGTTATACACATGGAATGTTTTCCGCAAATCAACCCAAAGAAATGCAAATGTTTTTTATCGAAGGAGTAAAAAATCTAAGTAAAGAAATGGTTAACTGGCCTGAGTTAGATCCAAAGTAAGTAAAAGCAATAATTAAATAAATTAGAAAATGTGAAACTAATAACCTAATTAATTCTAAAACAGAATACCACAAAAACTTGAAAAAATAGCTGATACAGTTTTTGAAAAAGCAAGTAAAGCTAATATTTTTCGTGATAACGAATTCAACGTAATTAATCACGGAGATTACTGGATTAATAATATGATGTTCAAATATAATGATAAAAATCAACCTATTGCTCATATATTCGTAAGTATCCTCTCCAATCTATTGAATTGAGAAAAGTTGTTGATATAAAAAATATTCGAATATTAATAAATTAATAAAATAAAATAAATTTCATAAACAAATTTAACGAGGATGAAATATTTCAATTTTAGAGGAACTATTCAGTATACCTATAAAGATTATAATACTTTAAGAGAAAATTTAAGACACTAAGTTTTTTATTATTCTTTTTTTGCTATGGTCAAAGTACAATTGCTTATTATGAATAAAACAAAGAATTTTGTAGAAGCGTTCATTAATTTAATTGTGCGTTCGAATTCAATTTTTGCTTATTTTATACAACAGAATTTTTTACTCTACATCTATGAATTTGAAAAACACAAATGCTATCCATTCTCTTCGTTTATATTTCCCTTTTCCCTGATAATTTATACTAAATTATTTCTCTCTCTCTCTCTCTCTCTCTCTCTCTCATTCTGTCTCATTACGAAGTTCAAAAAGCACCTACCAACAATTTCATTTCCAATTAAAGACGTGTCTTGAAATTTAAGTCAACTTAAATTTAAGTGAACTTATTGACTGATTTTATATGCTTTTCTAACTTTACCTAAAATAATTAAAATCATGTACACAGCATATTATTTATTCAAATTATCATTATAATTATATATTATTCATATTTTTAAAAAATTTGTTTTTTCCATTTATAAATGTTTTCTAAACGTTTTCTATAAAAAACATTTAAATATATTATTGTCAAATATAATTCTTTGTTCATGTATAATTATTTATCAGTTTGTAAAATACATAAGAATAAATCTGTATTTCACATGAAATAGTTATGTTAATGAAATTAACAAATTATTTATGGCCTTCATATTGTACATTCATATTGTATTTAATATTTCAGGTTGATTTTCAGTTCTCTCATTATTCTTCGCCAGGAATTGATCTACAATATTTTTTTAATACAAGTTTAAATGACAATTATTTCACAAAAAATGAGCAAAAGCTTTTAGAAGAATATTTGCGAACGTTAACTTTAACCATGTCAAGATTAAAATGCCAAACTAAAGCACCTACTATGGATGAACTTATGAAAATGTATAAAGATCGTGCCTTTTTGGGAATGATGGCCAGTTTAATAATTTTGCCAATAATATTAGTCAAGAAGGATGAAAGTATGAATATAAACGAATTAATGGACGCATCAGTAAACGGATCTGTAGTCTACGGAGGAAAATCTTTTCGCAAAGCTATTGTTAAGCGATTGCCAATATTTGATAAAATGGGATTTCTCGATTGACATTGTATCTTAATTGATTAATGAAACATTAATGTTAAAAGTTTTTTTTTTTAATTTATAATTTTAGATTAATATACATAAAAATAGGCTACTAATATAGTCTAATATTAATATATATAATTTTTTTCTAAACATAATGCAGCAGGATCTATTTATATCTTGATATCTGAAATGATAATAAGAAGGAAAATTATAAAGAATAAAAATTGTTTTATAAAATATGATTCATTGATTTTACTTTAATTCAGAAAACATTATTAAAAAAGAATTTGAATGATTGGCTTTAAGTAACAACTGCACCGATATATTAAAATGAAAATATAATTATTTAGACTAAAATTACTATATTAAAAAGTAAATGATTATATATATATATATATATATATATTTATATTTATCTCTTGTTTTTATTATTTTAAAGATATGTAACGATTGAATAATATGTGCCGATTTACAATAGTACATTTTAATATCTTTATTTTAGAAAGATAATATTTGCAGAATGAAGTGGTCAATGAAGCATCTATTGCAAGATATCAAAAAAGAAATTCATACAAGTAGATAAATAAATGCTCGTTAGATTATTAACAGAGTTGTTATGCCCGTTATGATGATCAATAGATAACCATGTATTCGTAATTGCAACTTGGTGAGAGTAGGGGCATTTGCTTGCAATCAGTTTATACGCAATTTCTCATAAAATGTAAGCTTACATCATATACTATTAATAAACTACGAATATCCTATCTACATTTCTATTATATAATGCTTTCTGCTTTAACTCAACGACTGACCCAGTTATTTTTTTTATTCTTTAAGAATGTGATAATTAATTCTATGTGGTTATCAACAAAGCCTATTCATCCATACATACGCATTAACAAGTGAAGGAAAAAGTGAGTAGGGTGAACTACAAACTCAGAAGATGAAAACAAAATAAATTCACAAAGTCCTGATAAGATATTGGTAATGAGGTGATGAAAGTTTTATCAGTTAATGTAAGTAATGCAGTGAAAAAGTAAGGAGTGCATAACATAATATCTCTAAATGGCGGGAAAAGCATGAGAGACTATCTTTTCTTCTTTTTTAATTTTTTCTTCTACATTTAAAAAGAATGAAGTTAAAGAACAAAAAAATAATAATGAATGGATGAATAAATAAAGGACAGGTAAGGAAATGTGTAAGGGTTTTGCCCTCGTATAAATAATTAAAAAATATAATAGATAAAAGAGATCTTCCTTGATTCTCTGCAAAAGTTCAATGCCAATTTTTATAGATAAAAAGTTGCTCATTTATTAACAGGAATTAGACAACTTACATCGAATAAAATTATTGTACTCTGAACAGTTTGTCTTTATCGTAGTTTGTATGGAGCTTACATTTGCTGTCAAAATGGTAATAAAAATACTTAGTACTGCAAAATTTAAAAAATTGAGCCATTAAATACTATAGAGATTGTAAGGAGTAGTTAAATTGTAAGGGTAGCATGATTCAGGCGTTCGTTCCATTTATTTCTGCTTTACATCCGAACTCCTGATTTTGAGATTCAATGACAGAATAAATAAACAGAATGAATACTTCGCATTCAACAGTTACTAATAGTTCGATTTGGAATTGAAAATGACTTAATGCGTCAAAAATGACAAACTAATGATCTTGTTATTGATAAATAATTATCGGAGAAAACAATAAGAAAGTAAGAATGGGAAGAAGACGAGTAATTTGTTGATGCATAGTGATTACTGGTAATATTCTCTTCCTCTCAATAATCTCTTCCAACGCATTCTTACACTTTGTGTATTACTTTTTTATTCATTTATGTAGCATTCCTAGTTTGAATAAGCATCATATTGTTTATGATTTTAATCTTTATAATGACCGAGGCTTCTTCAATCAATCACGCATCAGCCACCGCGTTGCTGTTGTCCTCTCTTCTTGTCGAATTTCACTTTTTTACCCTTCACTTACAGTCATATCCCTTTCAGAATAATTTATAGAACCATTCGAGTTTATAGCGTCATAAATATATCCATTTTCATTTCACTGCCATGAAGATTTACTTTTTAAATATTACACCTCTCGTCAATAGACTCTCCACAAATGCATTCACAATAATTTGATATTTTATGTAAGATAATCAGAAAATCGATATAAAAAACCAGTCTGAATTATAAGATTAAATTTCTTGCGAATGGAAATAGAAAGTTGACTTTCTTTGTCACTTTCTGAGATTGTGGTAAAGATTCAGGCAAGAAATAAACAGCTTTTCTCTATCCCGAGAATTAAATCCCTTATTTCATGACAAATAAGTGAAAAGATTAAATAAAACTTTAAGTACCTTGAATATTTTTCAAATTACGACAAAACGAACAGCATGATATGATAATGTAATAAAATCACCCTAATCTGTTTGAAAATATTAAAAATAAAGAGCATTTTTTATAAACATTAATTAATGATAAAATAAAAACTATTTAATTCTGATTTATCAAACCTATGCACTATAAATATATACATATTTTCTAAATGAAATGATAAAAAATTGAAAGTATTTTATAAATAATGATTTGGTATAAATATCTTTTCTACTCCATTCGAATTAATATAAAAATATGTAACACTAATGACTTTTTAACTAATTAAAAAAAATAGAAATTCCTAATTATAATTGAAAATGGTAATATAATTATATAATTAATATTATATGTTAAATTTTATATAGATTTTTTTTTTCAACATGTATAATTTATATATATTTTATAAAAGTAATAAAAAAGATATATTATTTAATATATTGGTAATTAATACAAATATATAAGATAATGATGCACAAATTTGATATTCTATTTAAAATTCTAATTTTATATAGTGCTTACGTTTGATTTTAAATTAATTAAGAAATTGCTATTCATAAAATGTTTGAATTACTTTATAAGAAATAATGAGTTTATTGTTTTAATGACTATCAAAATATTATAAATTAACCGTTAATATTTCATATACAGTTAGTTATCTAAAAAGATATTGTGCATATTAAATATTTTTATACGCAATCAATTATAGATATAAGTAATGTACAATCGTTGAATATTTAAATATGAAATTTTTTTATTTGAATTTCATATATTTTATACGAATGACATTTAAATTTTATAAATTTTGATAGAATTACAAATTTTTATTTATTTTTATTATTCCTAAGCCAATAATAAATGAATTTAATTAATGGCTAAAAATTTAATCATTAGTATGGTTGAATACTTCTAAGGTTAAATTGTCTGAATTAATTATACGATAATTCTTTTTATGACAAGTTTAATTAATGTACCAAATATACATAAGAGTTATGTTTTATAGTTTTATTTATTAAGATATTACAGTAAAAATAAAAATGTTAAAACATTATTGTCAAATATCATGTGTATTTTACATGTTTTATCTCTTTTGTATAAATTTCCTCTATCTTATTTTATAAATTAACTTCATTTGTTTTAATCAAAGTATATTAATCTTATTACAATTTGATAAAATAAATTTAAAAAATTTTTTTAATTAGAAATATTTAGTTATAAATATTATTGATCAAATAATTAATTATAAAAAATTTCGTTATTAAATTAAGTAGGTTATTTACATGAAGCATTAAATATATTATCTTTCCTTGCGCTATTGTTCTTGTCAATTATTATTATCAATGTTCTTATTATTATTCCTATCATTGTTATTATTGTTATATGAATATTAAAAGTTATTTTGCAATCAGATCTTCAAAAGAATAAGATTTTAATTAGAGAAATAGCTATGTAGTTATTAAAAAATTAATTACAATTTTATTATGCTTATGTTTGTAACGTATCTTTAGAAAAAATGTAATAGTATCGAAAAATGTATTCAATAATTTAAAAAAAATCTTTACATTTATTTAATATGTAATAATATAAAATGTATATTAAAAATATTTGTGTTTCATACGTGTACGAAATTAACCTACTTTTTCTTATTAATATATATATATATATATATTCATCCATAAGAATCACATTCATTAATTAAACATTCGGTTATAAATCGAAACTCTTGAATATGTATTATATTTGTTAAAGTAGTATTGAAATAGAACCAGGATAACATGATAACTAATCGTCTGCGTTGAACAATAGTGATGTTGGACAATTTTAACAAACAATTTTGAGGAGGATGGAATGAGACAAGGCTCTATGTCAATTGACCATCTATGTACATTTAATCTTCTCTTTCGATTTACGTAAATTTTAAAACAATTGCATATAACTTAATTATTCTGTTCTTTTTTTATAAAAAATACTGAATAATATAAAATAAATTCGTTTTCATAATCATATATATCGATTCGGTATGTTCATACAAAATATAACTGTATAGTAATTGAACAACTATACAAGTGATAAAATTGAGAAAAGTGAACAGTTATTAGTAGTAAATCAAATTATTGTAAAACGCTTTAACAAATTATGAGTCTAAAATTCCACATTAATTAGACTTACCTATAGTTCTGAATGTAGGTGCATGACTTGAATGAGTCCGTTGTAAATATAAGCCTCCAAGGAGCACCAAGATAGCTCGAAAGAACCTCATTGGCAACATCGTCATTGCTCCATAAGTGATACCTAATAAAAAATATTGCTTAGCAATAAAAATACAGAAGAAATAAAAATAGTAAAAAGTCGAAGACTATTATTTCTTAGAGTTTATAAAACGTAGTTCTGAGTAGAAAAAGGTTACAGAAATATTATGAGGAGTTGATTTGGAACAGAGAAGAAGATTGTTAGATAATAAATTGGGTATGTCAATAGAGGCGAGAGAAAATATAGAAGTGATAACTAATATTTGCGATCGATGTTGAAGGATTATGAAGCCAATAGATAATCTTTTTGCAAATTTAGCGGAGTTCAAATTGAGCACATTTTTCAGTCGGAAACAAACATTAAACGAGCTTAGTGTCAATGCTTATTTTCTCACTTTCTTGATAGGTGCAAGTCAT